CTCCTTTGAGTATACACATAAAAAAAAGTGAATGTCCAGATAAAGAAAGAGCAAAGACATTGAGAAGAGTAAAACATTATTAAAAGCTTTTTATATATAGAAAATCTGAAATACCAACAAATTATTAGAAAAAAAGTGTTTATTTAAAGCAAGAACAAAGCAGTTATCATCCACTGGTTATGATCGAGGTTGTGGGAACCCAGAAGTTACAGGACAACTGGATGGCACAGTTTAATTTAAATTTTTGCAAATCCAATGACTAGAGAAATTATTTTTTTTAACAAAAACTGTACAAGTGCTCGTGGCTAAGGCAATGAACTGCATAAGGAAAATAACAATCAAAAACCTGGGGCTGGAGTCATGCCAACTGCCTAAACAGAAAACAGGCAAAATAAATACAAAAATAAAAACTGCAGGACTTTGTGATACAATATTAATCTCACTTCGTACTCATCTTTAAGTTTTTTTAAAATCAGTTTTCCCTAAACTTTTATAATAGGAGTCGCTTTTTATCTCGGAAGCATTTCAGTGACAATTCAAACCAACACAGCTGATTCTGATTATTGCAGTTCAGCAAAAGCCTGTTAATCAGCTATCAATGGAAATCAGCTGTGCTGAAGCAGTGAAACCTCTAAAATCTGCAGGACAGCGGCCCTTCAGGACTGACTTTGGGGATGCCTGCTTTACACTCACACGCACCCACACACCCAGACACACATAAACATTTTTTTAAAGAAAAAAATCCAGTAATTTTCCAAACTAAATCCGGCTCTTGGTGTGCAGGTAAATAAGTAACTCTCAAACGTTTCAGTTAAAATGTTAAAGTTTATTTCACATGTCTTTCTCTTTTTCAAAGAACATGTTAAAGTGTGGTGTTCAGGAATTGAGTTTAAGTGTTACTTTCAATTGGAAGTAATTTGCAGTCAAAATTCCTTATGTAACATGAAGTCTTGAAGTGCCAAGCAAACATATTGATACTACTGCAATGTATTTTAGATGTATTCTGTATGATAGAGCAAAATAAATTATATAATTGCGAAGTAGAAGTGTGTATTAACAACATTTTCAAACTGAATTGTCAAAAACTGAATTGAGAAGTAGTATTAGGAAACAGGACAGATTTTTGCGAATAAGTTGACAGCATAACTGTTGGTCTCACACTCGAAAAGCCTTGACTTAATACAGCTGTGGTAGAAAAACAATTAATTGTCCAAAGAAAGCCAAAATACACTTGGTTTGTATTTTGCCATAACTTATACTTTGTAGTGGATAAGGTACATGTGGTGGAAGATGCTCTGTTCAGATAATAAAAAAAAATCATACTTTTACTGTACATGCCAAAGTTTGTGTGTAGTAAAACGCTAGCCATTAACACATTATCCATGCAAAAAGTTTTAGATTTGTAAAAAAAAAAATACTTTGTGTTGGCCTATTATATTTACCCACAATACATAAATACAATTATTTAGGTGTATTGTGACAAAATATATGCTGATTGTTTGCAAGCCACTGTGGCTTATGATTTAGTGTGATAGGGAGAAGTTGCTCAAAACTCTGAGAAAAAAAAAAAAAAAAAACTCACTATTTTCTAAATCCTCATAATTGAAGAGATTGAAGTTAAGATTTATGTTAGTGCTATAAAAATGTTTAGCTAGTTAAAATATATATATCTCAGCCAAACACTGTTTGATATGGATGCATCATTAAAAAAGGCTGTGAAACTTTTAAGAGAAAATTGAGTCTGACATATGTGGCTATAGGTAATTTTACAGTTTATTTTAAAACTATAAAGATTGCTTAACACATGTGCTGCACAGTCCTCATTTGTGTGTCCACTAATACTGGCATTTTCTGGGTTCAAAAGTTGAAGTTTACAAACATTCAATCATACAAAGTAGAAGCCAGAAGAAAAGAAAAAGTGGAGGAAGAACTGTGATCCAGAAACGTCTCATCCAGGGATTGTTCACAGCTGAGACCAGTAGAGGGCACGGTACTCCCGTAAAACCGGAGAAAATAAACATGCTCGGCAACCTTTTGCATCCGCTTCTCTTAAATCCAAAGCAGAATGAGCAAAGACAGTTTCTCATTGTGACATGTGTAAAAGCTTCATTTGCAATTTCATAACACAAATCCTGACGTGCAGCTATGTACAAGACACACAAATCTGAATCTTAAATATGTAAAACAAGAAGTTGTTTGAATGATATTTCTTAATATTATCTGTGCATGTTAAAAAGCCCAACAACATTCATTCTGTGCAATTTAATTTAACCATTATTGTATGAACTAATACTTAATAACACTGGGGGCACTATTATGGCATTATAGGTGATGGAATCCAACTGATGATGTCATAAATTCAGACAAGAATAGAATATATTTAACCACACTTCACCATTTGGTAAAAACATTAAATAGTCCATATCTCGTTTGACTTATAGTTTAAAAAATCTATGTGCAGTCAGATTTTTCAGATCAGTGTTTTGCATTGCACATTTTCCAGTGTATACACAGTCCTGCAGCACTGCAGCATCTTTGTATAATACTGCAGCCTCTCTGCCTCACTCTCCCTCCCTTATACCTACTGTCATTCAATCTAACCTCTAATGTCTTTCTGAAGAACAGTTTCTCTCATTGTAACGTCACAAAATTACTTTCTATTTAGCTGCTTAGCTTTATTTTTTTTGTTACGTTTTGTCTGTTAGTTTCCTTAGATTTGTCTCTCTTTATTCATAAAGTATCAAGCTACATTTTCTGCTTCATTGAAAGCCTGATCAAAGCTCAGCCTCTACTCTGATCCAGATCTAAATGTTCAGCTTATTTGATAATGAAAAGTCAGTGGGTCGTTTTCCCGTCCTGAAGCTCCCGTTTCCTAACAGGGGGAGGCGCTCATGTGCACATGTGTGTGATAGTGAGGGGGAGGTACAGGCGATGGGGGCATGGCCATGGGAAGAGCCTGGCCCTGAGGGTGTGAGGAGTGGGACCTGGGTAGGGTGTGTGTAGTGGGGTAACCACCGGACTGTGGCTGCATCTGGTAGCTTCCTGCAGAAGAAGACACAGAGGGAGGACTTCCATGGCTGCCGACTTGGAGGGTACATTTTTGTGGTGCTTGTGATGTCTGGTTAAGCTGGATCGAAATGTCGCTTGAGGCCTCTGAGGTGCTGCGACCTCTCTTCGGCGGGGGCCAGGAGGACTCGGGGTGGAGGTACTGGCCGCTGTAGTCGCTACCCTCAGACAGGCGGGGGCGGTATATAGCAGGGTGGGGGCGGTACATCTCTTCCTCTGCATAGCGTTTCATGAATAGATAGACTGACAGAACTCCAGCCCCCTAAGAGAAAATCAATTACAAGTCAAGATTAGAACGTATTAGGAGCACAATTAGGAGTTAATTATGATTTGCTATGTTATGCCTGAGATTGTGAGAATAAGTAAGAAAGCATAAAATTCCTCTATTTTGACTTCCAGGGTGTTTTTCATGTTGACATCAAGGGAAAAGGGGCAAAGGAAAGGTGACCAAATCCCTTTAAATAGATTTAATTGATAAACTTTACATAAAAGGTTGTACAAATGTTAGTTTCTACTGCCATATCAACCATTGCAGTTTAAGTTGACATGGAAGTGTTATGCTTGGGACTATTTAATAATTTTTTTAAGCACAGAAATTTCAAAAAAGATATTTTTTAAGACATTACATTTAGCAATGACCAATTTCTTAATTCTGATATATGACATTTTCTTTAATTATTACATTAATAAATATAACAAATTTTGTATGTAGAATGTCTTCAGTCAAAGGCTTTCCCAGATCCAGTGCAAAACAGACCTTTATAGAAGATAATTTCTGTGTAAAGCTATTTGCATCTACAATTCATTGAAGCATTTACTGTAATGTTCCCTTGGGGATCAATAAAGTATTTCTATTCTATTGAATTGAATAAAACCATAGCCATTTTAAACTTTTATTAAAGGTATTATTGGCCTCTCTCTGGAGTTAAGAAAAAAATATGGTGAAACAAGAACAAACTTAATATTTTTGAAAGTGCGGAAACATCCATTGAACCAAATCAGACAATCAGGGGTAAGAAAACAAAAGATAGTACCTATAGTTGGTCACAAAAGACTGTTTACTTTTCAGGGTCACTAATATTCCTGCCCCCTGGCTCTCAGCTCCTCTCCCAGCCAAAGAGGGATTAGCTTCCAGCTCTAAAAGTAGTTCTGTTTGCAGCTAAAAGGCCTCTCCTAAAAAGGCAAGCCGCATTGGTCTCTTATTGTTCACAGGTTTGGGATTTGGGATGATGAGTTTTTTGAAAGCCACTGAGGGATGTAGAGAATGTCCGAGAGAAAAACAAACTTAACAGGAACTTTACACAAAAAAAATTACAAAGAAAGTAGCAAATCATATGCTACAGAGGAACATTTATCACATCCATATTTGGCAAGTTAGTTTGGTTGGTTCTATGTGTCGCAGACTTCAGCTGCCTCTGTAGCAGACAGGAAAGGATCAGGTCGGATCAGCCAGTCTCGCAGACTCGGAAAACATGTAGCCACACATCTCCAGTCAGCCAAATATGATAAATGGAGTGTCCTATTTATTTATTTTTTGTCTGCAACATTTCTTCCTCTTCTGAAGTTGGAATATCAAAATATTAAAATTCTCATAATTGATGAAAGGCTTTCATTAGACTGAAGCTGCTTTATTCAAAGTTTTGAACATAAAGTTGTTTCATTGCATAAAGAAAATTTGACTCATTAAACTCCTTATAGCTAATTATTTATGGACTATGTAAGAAACTTGTCGGAAATACTAGATTACCAAAATAAGATAATTATTATTAGACATAAAACACCAGTCAGAAAAACATGATACAATTTGAAGATGCTGGGATTTTGGCAAATATAAAACTTCAATCAAGAATATTTGAAAGCACATTTAAAGGAGAAGCTGAGTTTTTGTGACTGACAGGTCCATTACGTTGTATTCTTTACCACTTCATCTGGATTATTGACTTTCCACATCAACAAACACTCAGATACATACAGACATTTTGTGTCAAACACAAACCTAAGACCACGCTAAAAACTATACTGATATTAAACAGGGGTAAATCTCATTTGTGCTACGCAGTTATGTTTTCTGTCATGTTGCTTCTTTATTTGTTTTTTTTTTTAAAGAGACTCAATTCCATCAAGGCAGCTGCAGAAGCTAAGGATAAAACAATGATACAGATTTAATCAAACAAGCAATAGCAGAACAAACTATACTTCCAAACAGAAATCCTTGCACACAGTCATAACCCACACTGACCTCTTTGAGTAAGAAGGAAGAGGCAGCGAAAGCGAAAGACCAGCCGTAGTGGTAATTGAAGAACTGCTCAGGCTCTCTAGGCCGGTTCATCACCTCGTCATTAATGCTGGAGATGTAGAGTACAAGGCCCACCACCAGACTTAGGCCTGCATGTAACACATTCACAATGACAGGGGGAGAGGAATACAGAGTCAGATACATTAAGGTCCTTGATATTATGATGGAGGCAGACAGACCAGTCTGGCCAGAGAAAAAGAGAAATATATGAGTGGACCATGAAAATTGTTTAGTCTTTAATGTGATAATGATTAAATAAGGGATCAGAGAGATGGAAGATCACTGTGTAAGAAAAAGGTCTTCAGAGTAAATTTTGATTGTTCAAATCCAGCTACATTCAAATTTCTTTTAATTTAATTTTAGTATCATATGTTTGAAAGCAGGGCTGAACAGTTGTGCAGTGGGTAGCACTGTTGCTTTGCAGCAAGAAGGTTCTGGGTTAGATTCCTGGCCCGGGTTCTTTCTGCATGGAGTTTGCATATACTCCCCGTGCATGTTGGGTTCTCTCCTCCGGCTTCCTCTCGCAGTCCAAAAACATGATGGTTAGTTTAATTGGCCTCTCTAAATAGTCCTTAGGTGTGAGAGTGTGTGCATGGTTGTGCGTCTTTGTGTGTCTCTGTGTTGCCCTGCGACAGAGTGGTGACCTGTCCAGGGTGGACCCCGACCCTCGCCCATAGACAGACGGACATAGGCAGCAGCCCCACCTTGACCCTGACAGGACTAAGCAGGATAAGATGGATGGATGTATGAAAGATTAAAATAAATGCTTGAAAGGTTTAAAGAGTTTTCACAGTGTGATGCAAGAATAGTTTTTAGATTTTATAACCTTCGCATATATTCTTTCTATGAGCAGAATTTACATGCACAAAGCAAAGTAAGTTTTGTTTTTGTGCCAAAAGGGGGACGATACTTTTCTAAAGCACTCAGGTGTTATGTTCTATTTGAGTTTTGGCAGTAAAAACCTTTTACTCATGGGAAACAAATGATGGTGCTCTTGGCTAAAGGAACAGTTGTGATAGATATATACAAAATGTTTTGTGCAGCAGGAGGCATTTAGAGACATTCAAGAGTGTGTTTGCATGGGAGTCTTTTATTCTTCAGATTGACAATGATTATAAGCAGGGTTCATTTTGAGTTTTTTGAAAATATAATAAAAGCCACAGCCTTTGCTTCAACTTGACCCACTGCTTTTGATGTTTTATGATATAAAGAGAGCCGAAATGCTTTATTTTATCTGGATGTACTGCAATCAAAACACCTTGATAGTTATGCTATACATATATAATGACAAACCTTATTTTACTTTCATATATCATAAATGTACAGATATCTATAGTGTAGTCCTGCTTTTGTAAATCAGCTTACTTTTAAAGCATTTTAAGAACTTTAAGGTGACATTTTGAAATAAAATCATATAATATAAAGGAAAGATATATTACATAAAGGACAAAAAAAGTATTTTCTTAATGATGCTGTATGTTTTATAGTTGTGGTTGGATTGAATTTGAACTAATATTGTATCGCAAGAAGCTAGATAAGATATAGAATGGAATTAAAATAAAATCTTTGAAAGAATTTCATAATTTAGATAGGAGAATGGGGAACTAATACTTAGATTGCTTAGAAAAAAATGTATCTATTTATTCTTTAATTGATAAAAGATTAGTAGGATAGTCAAAAAGATGCTGAGGTTGGCCACATTTTATTCCTGTAAAATGTGTGACAGTGCTATAATACCATACTTAAAATAAAAATAAAAACATTTAAGCTTGTATCCAAGAACATGTTAATTGCACTTAATTGCTCCCAATTAAACAGTTGAAATTACGAACAGTGATCTCAAAATGCTTAGCATATGTTCTTTACTAAATTCTGCAGAGTAGCAAAACCAAAGATAAAGATTTGGTAAAGCATGTCATGCAAACTGCTTAAGAATGGTGGAGGATCTGTGATGCTGTGGGATATTTCTTCTACTTTACACACTGGAAAGCATGTTAGATTGTATGTCACTTTGGATTTTCTATCTTTGGATAGACATCTCTTGACTATGCAAAAAAAAGAAAAAAAAAGTCAACTTATTTGTTACTTTGGTTGGATAATGAGGTAGTACGATTTAATTTATGAACACAGAAACAGCGCAGATATCCTCTGGAGTGAGATGAAGAAAGCTTAAGAAAAGACCCAGGAATTAGTAGAAATTTGTTCAGAGAGGAACTACCAAGGACTCCTCTATCGCTATGCTTCAATGTTGTAAAAAGACATGCTACATGCCTTATTTTATCGGTTGCTGTTATTTTCAGTATTTATTTATTTTTATTCAACTAAATTCATGCTCCTAAATTAATATCTATATAATATATAATACATTCCTTTAATGGTATTTTACCAGGTTTGCCAAAAAATGTGCCTGTCGCCATATAATATTTTTAATCCAGATGTAGTCCATCCATCATTAAAACCCTTCCATCAAGAAACACAGACATGCACTCTTCACTGCCATTAAAATGTTAAATGCATGAGGTAAAACATATGGCACCCATCAAAGAATCAATATTCAAAGACAGCAGCCCCACTGTAAGAACCAGATGTGAATAATTTTAGATTTGACATGGACGTTCAAATGTGGCGCAGTGCTGTCAGGAGTGTTTTTTTTTTACACAAACAGCAGGTCTAAGAGGTTTTCTTGTCAACTTAAAGTTTGAAGGCATGAGAAATGCAGAAACCATGCTACTGTCAACTCTGAGGTGACATCACATCTTTATTCAGGCATCACAAGTGATATGAAGAGAGAAAACATTCCCAACAAAAGAAGATGGCAGAGGAGACATAAGAAAACTAAGGTGATTCTTCCAAGGTGACATGCATGACTGACTTAAACGGTATTTTTAAATCTCTCTGCCTGTATTATGTTCTAATAATTGGAGCTTAGATTTGATCGATGCAAATTGCAACAAACCACTGCCTCAGGAATACAAACAGAATATTCAGAATAAAACATATGAACCTCTGAAGCTGCTAAAACCATGGAAACCAAGGAATGCATGAAGTGATCATTTACTGCAACGTCATAATCAAGCAGCTGAGTGTAATTACTAATTACTCTTATCATCTTACACACTCTCTACTCTATAACTCTTTACATTTTAAAATCCCCATTTCACCCTGGTCCCTGGATGTTAAAGCTGTTGTTCCAGAATCTGTGTCATAATCCTTTCATCTTCTGTTTCTCCTCTTACAAAGAATGTCAAAGAGAAAAACTAAAGCTGCAGTGAGCCTCCTAACAGGTTTTACTCTTTACTCCAAAGGGGAGCATTAGAGCCACCTGCTGCTCAAGAAACATCACTACAGCACTGTGGAGAAACCATATGCTAAATATTTTTTGAGGATCAAAGATTCTGAAACAACTTTAAAAGTCTATTTTAAAAGAGAAGAAAATCTGAAACCCTTAAAAAAATGAACCCTGTCACTGTTTCTAATGACATCTTCTACACCTGTATTCCATTCCAAAAATAGCCATTTACAAAGCATCTCCAATGTTTGACACAGGAAACAGCAGGCTGCTCCAATCGATCATAATAAGATGTAGCGATGACAGCACAACATGAGTAATGGGTCCAACCTGAGAGAATGAAGAAGATGCCGGACACAAAGGCCAGGATGGTTCGCTGAGGCCGGATGTGCCCAATGTTGCTGATGACGAACGCTGTGAAGACGAAGAGCAGTGACACCATGGGGAAGGGTGTGGCTGTGCGAACCATCTCTGTGGGAACAAAAGGTCGCAGCGTTAAAAATAGCTCATTGGATTTCCCTTGGAAGTGTTGACTAAAAGGATATTGCTATGGAATAAACTTTATTTATTCAAAGGCTGTAAAACACAAAACCTTATAAAAGTATTAACTATTTTATGAGATAGATTAACATGCAACAGCATAGGTTTATAGTAAGTTAAGTGCTACTTCTTTGCCATACAGTTGAGCTGTTGATCTCTGCAGCTCCTCTGGAGTGATCACTAGCCTCTTGGTTTAATCTCTTATTAATGCTCTCCTTGCTTGGTCAGTAGGTTAGAGGAAAACTATGTATTGGGACGTTTGCAAATGCGGAATTCATCTGTCATGTTCTAATGTTGATTTGAACGGTGCACCATAAAATTTTTGATGTTTTTTTAACCTAACTGGCCTAACTTTTGATGGCAAGTGGTTGTGTCAGACTTTATCGAAGGGTATCAGATTAAAAATAGCTGTATACGAATTTCTGCTTAACTTTACAGTTTTTCTGTTGTAAATATCCTTAAAAATTGTGTCATCTTTACCTTCTATTTTAAAACTTTATGCACCTTTTTGTTGGTTTATTACACAAAGATGTGATACAATACAGTACAATTTTTATGACAAAATATAGATAAAAAGTTAGGGATGATTTTATGAGGTAACATTATTATCTAAGAAGAAAACTAAAAGTTGTACAATCATTTTTTCCCCTCTCTTTGTAGAAACGTCTAGTTATCTTTTATTGACATTCCAAGAAAAAAAAAGAATGCACCAAACTATACGTTTCAAACTGGTTAGAATGATTAAGCATCAGTTTTTAAAACAAAAAAACACATTGAACATTTGAACTTAGGGTAAAAAGCAAGCTGCAGATATTAATTCCCTTCTAACTTGTTTTTATTAACCTTTTTTTCTGCTATGACATCTCACAGGTAAAGCTGGAAAACCCCTCTTTGAAAGACCTCCAACTCCTTAAGTTTCACTGCATCTAAACCTATTTCTTCTTTCTGCACCTTTCACTTCAGATCCTTCACCCTTTCCTTTCTCCAGTCTCATTTGTCAGAGCAAGTCAACAGGGCATAACTCAATATAATATCTTTTTCATAACAAATACCAGATATGTAATATCACATCCATCTTTTACTTACTTAGGATGTTTGCAGTGTTTTCAGTGGTTATCTCTATTTCCGGCTCAGTGAAGTACTCCGACGCAACACACCTTCCATTCTCTGATCCTGTGAGGAAGCAGAAATTGAGCAATACTAGGTTTGCTTTTAGGATCTGAGTTGGTCATGCATTAAAAAGCACGGGTCTCTGTGGCCTCTCTTGCTGTTAATGATCATGTTTTGTGACAGATTTGATTCCAGAAGCCACAGGCTCCCCTCTTTCTGTCCTCTCTGCAGCCTGGATATCTCTCTACTTGCAAATCTTTAGCATTTGTTCATACTTGTTTGTTACTTTTTTGCCCTTGGATATGGTGCATGTGAGTAAGTGTGAACATATGCGCACAAGTTAATGAAATATTCCTACCAGCCACAAAGCAAACTCTCCAGAGGCCAGAATGCAGAGCCATCTTCACCTCCATGCTCTGGTTCTGCTGCAGGATGATTCCTTCTACCATTATCAGCCAGTAGTCAGTGGACACAGCCACCCCCACCAGCAGCAGTCCGCAGGCTCCAAATACTGTGGACAGGATGGTCAATGCACGGCTGCTGCATGAACTCATCTGGAAAGCAGAGGGAGAGGCAGAGCAGTAATCAAACATCAGAACTATGGAAATAAAGAAAAGAAAGAATTAGGGATCACAAAAAACATAGAAATACTTTTGTTATGTGAATCTTATCCATAAAGACTCAAGGCAACTGGCCATTCTTCTTGTCCGGCCTTGTTTTTGCTGGAGATGATTTAGCTACAAACATGCTGGCAGCCAATCACATTAAAGGTCGGAGTGGAGCCAGTGTAACAGATGCTGACCTCACAGACTAAGTTAGACAAGGATTTTGAAAACCCAGCTTTGGAGGGAACAGAAGCATAAAGAAGACGGTGACTCAGACATAGGCTTTCTGTGGCTTAGTTCTGGCTGAACTGCACATGCACATTTGAGCGAGCTGTCTGTTTAGATTCATGTGTCTCAGTGCACGTGTGCTGCATGTGGTTGCTCTGCTTCTGGCATCGACTTAATTTGGACATGCTATTTATTTATTTCGGCACAACAAATAAGTAAAACGTGTAATAAGTTGACATGTTGTTTACTGTAACTACAGTGTCTTGTAAAAGTAATCAGACCAAGTATTCAGACTTTTTTGCAAGAACAAAGCTTTTATGTATCTTACTTTTTCGGTTTTCTGTGGTAGATAGAAAGAACACAGCACATAACTGAAATAAAAGTAAAATAGTCTTTTTTCGTCTAACAAATAAATATCTGAAAAATGTGCTATTAATTATTATCATACTCATACAAGTCAATACTTTGCATGGGGTGGGTGGGGTTTAACCAGCTTTTCACATCTAGTGTATGACTTTTCAGCAAATTCCACTTGACCTCATAGCTTTCCTTCTAGAAGGAACATTCCCTCCTGTCTCACATCAATTGCCGATTATTCTTCTAGGATAGCCCCGCCTAAAGCTACATTCATCCTCCCATAAAATCTGTGAGGAAAGCACCCAAATAGCACGATGCTGCCATCCTCATATTTAATGGGTTCAGTGTGCATTGTTAATTTTTCATCATCATCTGGTTTTGCATGTTGCCCAATAATTGATATTATGAACTGATTAAATTGCACTCAAATCCAATATCTCAGTTTAGATGCATTTAATTCTGCAGTTTCTGCATATTTAATCCCCATACCTTCTTTGTGCATGTCAGCTTCAAATTATCCTTCTTTTTTTTTTAAGAATACCAATGGGTATTCAGGCTTGTCCGCCGTAAAATCTTCCCCAAATGCCAGCCAAAAATCTTCAAAGTCACTATTAGCCATTCAATTTTGGTGTCATTTGACCGTATTCAGATTAACTTATTTACAAATGGACAAATATAGTGTTTTACGCATTGGCCAGAAGTTCTTTAACAAGCCTTTGATGCTTTCACAGAACATAATTTGAAATCAGACACAAGCAGATGCTATTTTGCAATTAGGATATGTCCGAAGGCAGCTGTTTGCAGTAAAATACATTTGTAAGCACCAAAGTAAAGAGTTATAAATTTGAATGCACATTGTATTTTCTTGTTTTTATTTTTTGTTCATGAAAAAAGGTTAAATTCCATTTTTTTTTTTTCAGTTTATAGTTAGGCGAAACTTACCGGTAGTATTGGTCTGTAATTTCAATTCCCAATAAAATACATTACAGTTTTTGACTGCAGGAGGACAGATAGGAAAAATGGCAAAGGAGTATGCATATTATATCTTACATGTAATGTTACTGAATTTCGGAAATATATTACTGTGAAAAATCTACAATTATCATTCTTGTGGTTTCTTTTTTCAATTTCTTCAGGGCATGTTTCTTCCTTAAATATCTTGTAATGTGGTAAAGGAAGGAAGAAAGATCCCAGCTCATCTGAACTTGCCTTCACTTATTACACTGCACTACACACACAGCAATAAGCCCAACAAACAGGAGGGAGTGCGCAGCAGACTTCATCTTCATCTGGTTTTGCCTCTCAGGCAGCATAATGGCTGTCTCACCTTATTAAAGCAGATTTTTTTAAGGAAGGTAGAGAGGCTGAATCACCGAAACCAACAGACTTTCTTTCTAATTGTGTGTCTCATCTGTAATAATTACTTTTCCCCCCCTATATATACAAAAAGTGGCTTGTCTTTTTATAAAAATAACAGCTTATAGAGTTTTCAGGGTGATACACTTGACAGTGATTTAACTGGACATAATTAGCACTGGCTTAATGAGCAGCTTGTTTGTATTTGACCTCAGTCCGTAATATAGCATTTGAATGCTGATGTCCATGATTCTCCAAACTTGGTCAAAATTGATGGTAATCCCATTTCATAAAAGAAGAATCCACAATGGTCACAGAAATAACATGAGATTGACAGATGTAATAATGAATAAAAATTCTATCAACTGAATAAATAAAAGTTAGACATAGCTTTTGAACCTAACAGCATTTCAACAGATTTAATTGAAATAATATATTCATGACCACATAAGAGTCATTAGCTATGGATGGAGAAAGCATAGTAGAGGAGTTATATCTTCCAAAGACCAAATTTACTATATAAAAAAAAAATGCTCAAAATAAAATTGCTGTTGTTGATTAGGGTGACCAAACGTCCGTATTTCCCGGGACATATCCGTATTTCACGTCCTGTCTCGGGCGTCCCGGGTTTTTTTAGAAAGTGAGGAAATGTCCTGATTTTTTAAATTACCTTCATTGGACCATTAAATTTACAGGCGCTAGGGCACTGCACACGACACTGCGTGTGACGTAACCCCTGAGCAGCGTCAGTGCGGGCAGCCCTGTTCTTAATCAGAATATACTGTAGATAGAGTGGTTGTCAGTACGCCAACAACATGCAAAAGCGTAAATGTATGTTTACCGACGATTTACAAAAGAGTTTCCCCGCTTTCAGACCGGGTCGAGACAAATGGGAGGCCTTGTGCACAGTGTGCAAAGCAGGTACATATGTCTCGGTGTCCAATGGAGGTGCAAGGAATCTGAAAAGCCACCTTGACACCGAAAGTAAAGATAGTCTACTCATATGTTTGTTTGTTTTTGGTACATTTTGAGTTATCTTTGCTACACAAGAGATATTTTTTGTTAATTAGCTCATTTGTTAATTTAATTTTTCCAATAGCCTACAGAACAGACATTATTTCGCTCATTGCTGAGGCTGAGTATCATGTGTTATTGGGAGTTGAGAGTTATTGTTAGCTTTTATTGTTAAGTGAGGGATGTTTAGATGAGACATTATATCGTTCATTGTGCTATTCATTCATTAGAGGAATTGTTAAGCATTTTTAGTAAATACATTTTGAAGGTGCTCCAAGGTATCCTGGTTTTCTGAAAGGAAAATATGGTCACCCTATTGTTGATGAAAAATGTATTTCTGCTTTCTAGTACAAATCCTGAAAGAGTCAGTTTATAAACTTAAACTTATGTGCTCTTGGATTATGCAGAACGATGATAAAAAAAAAGAAAACAAAAACTGTCGAGTCCACATTTAAATGTCTCAAAAAGAACGTTTTGGAGTTGTCTAGTTAAAGTGTCACTGCCTTCAAATACAGTTGGATCATTAGGGTTCTTATTCTACACAAAGAAATGTCTCTGAAATGCCTGAAACTTTTAAAGTTCTATTTGAAAGCGAAAAATGATGCATGATTTTTAGCTCATAACTTGCCTGTAAGCTGACATGATAGGAAGAAAACTGTGCTCCCTCCTGCTTCTATTGAGAGTCATAACTGTCCCCCAAGTGCTGTATTCAATTATCATTTCTCAATTTTTTTTTTTTTTTAATAAAAGCTGAGAACAGTTTTATGGTATCACTGCTGTTTAGAAGAACAATTAAGTTTTATTTTTAGAAGTTTTACTCAAGGAAGGAAGGTGATCCGCAGAAGGAAATCAGAGAATGAAGAAGAATGTTCACATGTTGTTCTCCAGAGAAGAAAACAAAACAACAATTTTTAATGTTCTGTAAATTTCTTTGCTGTTAATAGTTTATCTTTTTTATCAAATGAAAAGAGAAATTTAACAAACATTTTTTAATGGGCAGTCTTCGAATGTACAAAAGCAGTTTTTTTCTATTTAACACTTCCCTTAGTATTCTGTTCCTAAAATGTCAATATCGATGAAGTAATATATTGTCAAAATCGACATACTTACAATAAACATTACAAACTCTCTGTCACAGGACCAATCTTTGTGTTATGAGGAAGAAGGCAAAATATATGCTTGTTCAAGTCATCTATGAGTCTTTTCCATAATTATATTTAAAAAAGAACCCCTATTTAATCCATTCATTAAATATATCAGGGGTCACCAACCTTCTTAAGGCTGAAGGTTACTTCATGAGTATTGTGTCTTAGGAAGGGCTACTAATAGTGAACAATGAACTGGAGGGGTCAGAGTTCACCTGAACTAAACATAAAAAAATATATTTGTTTTGTTTCTTGTAATTTCTAATTTTCTTTAAGATATTGTCATTTTTTTTAAATAAATGCTTAAATGCCCTACATGATGATATGCTCTATAAATTATTAGAAAAGAAGAGCAACAGCATAAAATAAAATTTCAAACTTAGGCCATTGCAGAGTTTTTCTGTTTTGAGAAGATGCTGAGGGCACCCCACTTAACCTTTGAGGGCCACTTGGTGCCTGCAGGCACCGCTATGGCCACCATTATGCAAAACTATTTATGATTTATTGAGACAGCATAAAAACATAAATATATGCATACATCTTTCTTAAGCTTTTCTGAATTATTTTATTAAGTTGTGCTTAAGTTTCCTATGAGTGCAATGTAGTCTGTAGATTGACTGTGAACTGCCCCCTGCCTCTATCAATTTTTGGAAAATTCTCATAACACATTTGTCACTGTCTGATCACTTTTATAAAGTTTCACCAACATTTTATTCATAAGAAAATCTTCTTATATGACCACAATAAACAATTTCTACAAATAGGAAGCTACTTAGAGTGAGACTTTCATGCAAATTTGTCATAAAATACCATGCATGAAATTGAATATAAAAAATCTGTATGATTTCTACCCTTCTTTTTATATATCTCCACATTTTAAGGGAGCAATAAACCACAGAGTAAAAATTAAACTATTCATGAGTTAAGCTTTTTTTTTATAAACTGTAGTAGGAAAATGCAAATCAGCAGAGGGAGAATTGTTCAGCTACTGACTGTGCAGAGAAACATTCTATAAAAATGAGCTACAAAACATCAGGTAAATCTTAATGATGCGTTTAACCATTTATTAGTAATCTTCAAAACTGCAAAAAACAACAACCCTACAACACATAAAAAAGCCGCTTCTTCATTCTCTCTCATCTTTATGTGGTTAATACTCGAAGCCTTTACAATTGAAACTATGACAGAAACAGTTGTCCAACAGGGGAATAAAACCTGAAAGGCTAAGCACGGTCTCATCTTATCTGAACAGCCATTGTGGGATCTGTGACTGCAGGAAGGAGTTATTTCCCTTTCTATGTTGCTGCAGCATGGTTGAATATTATTTCTTTATCTCTAAGCAGTAAGAATGAAAAGCATGAAGAGAAGTAAAGGGTGCACTTCAGAGAAAGAAACAAAGCACCTGAGAGTTTACAGTTTTAATTAATCAATTCTGGAATCAATTCTAGAATTAATTTATGCAATTCTAGAGTAGGAATCAAGAAAAGTCCAGTAATAAATAAGACAGACTTTAAACAAAAACGTATTGACAAAATATACTTAAGAAAGTATAATCAGGTATATAAAGAAGAAATGTCATTCAAATAAAACAAACTTATGAGTGCTTGATAGCAAATTGGTTCTGTCATCTAAGGCACCAGGGCTTAAGAATTGAATGAATAGTTAGCTACACATCGGTGTGTCATACCTGTTCTTGTATAGCTATCTTCTACTTCTTCATCTTCATTTTTGTATTTTTTAATCATCCAAATCATCCAGATTTATAGAGCCAAACTATGTCAGAGGAAGTTATTAGAATAACACTTCAAAATTCACATAAATGACAAGGCATGACCATGTGCACAAATAGAGTACACAGAAAATATTATCAGCACACATATAACGCTCAGAAATGAATGGTGATATGAATAAATAATCTGAAAAAGTCAGAAGGCGGCAGAGATGGATAAGCGTCTCTGAGTAAAAAGTTTTTCAGCACCAGGGACAGCACCTTCCCCATCAGCTTCAGAAAACTAAACCAGGTTTGTTTTTGGCTTGTTTTAAATACAAATTTGATTTATTTCTTTTTTTAAATAAGAATTATCAATCAGTAGGTCATTGAAATACTTTTTGTTCTGCAAGACATGGTGCTTTTCTATATATATGTTTTTTAAATAAATAAATAAATAAATAAAAAGACATGGTGCTTAAGAAGATAAAAACAAAGCTCTGCATTCCTACTACAAACACAATAAACAGGTCCAGAAGATTATTCATAAAATAGTGATCTAGAAAGCCAAAATACCTGGACAGAGCCTATCCAGAATTAATAGAACATGAAACTTCATGCAGAAAGGCCGCAGTTCGGGAATCAAACCAAAATCTTTTTCTCTGCACATGCTACCAGTCACTACACTGTGCAGTGTCACATTGTAAACTTTGCAATACGCAAATAGAAAATAAAGTTTCAAAATACAAATACCAATAAGTACTCATAGAACAAGGATAAAAAAGCCAAAGAAAAAAATACAATTCTACAATTAAAATCTTTTTCAAACTTGACTACAATTGGTTTTGATATCAAGAAGATAAAATAAAATTATATATTAAAAAAATAAAAACATTTAGAAATTCCAGGTAGACTCCTCAAGCAGTAAAGGAAAACAATTACCTTCACAGAAGTGCGATAGCAATCCCATTTTAAGGCTCTGACACTTCAGCCTTCTCTGTCTCTTTCTCCAAGAAAGCAATGAACCAATTTAACTGGTTAGATAGGAGCCACAAGGGGACAAAGGGTTTAATTCACTCTAATCTATCTCAATCTACAGATTGGCAGGACTTTTTAACTTACAGGACAAAGAGATGCCAAGCAAAAGGAGAGTGAAAGTGTGTTGGATAACAGGGAAGGATAAGGACAGTAGCAGGTTTTGATATGGAGAGATAAATAGTTGTCTGCTCATGGAGGCAAGATGGGGTGCTAAAAGAAAAAAAAACTACCTTTCAGGAAACTGATTTTCTATTGCTTACAATGATCCCCTCCTGCAATAGAGTTATTAGTGCACATAACTGATGATTGATGATGCTGATGTTAATATATGATTTGGTTATTGCGTGATTTAGGATATGTGGAAGTATAGCACTGAACAAAAAATGTGCTAGTGGTTGCCTCTAGACAAAAAAAATTTTTTTGGGAAAACTAATGCCCCCTCCTCTGTAATGTGCATGGTGTAAGAAACTGGAGTCCTCTGTGTAATAAACCCTAAAACAACTTTTCTGTCACTTATCCTGTCATTAGAGAGCAGCTGCCCCCTTTATTGTGCCAGGAGAAAACACTGTCAGAAAATATGACTGCACTTTGCATTCCATTAAAAAACAACAACTTACATCTGATTTATGATTTTTATGCAGATATAAATGACTGCTTCACTGTGTTTTAGGAATAGTGAGCTATGTTTGATTAGCTGATTTGGAATGAGAATAGACAATTCTAGATTACACATGAATCATTTGAGACATAATCATGAAGTTGCTATTGTATTTGAGAAAAAAAAGAACCATTAGAATTGAGTCAGGCATAACACCTCCAGTAGGCCAGAACTAATCATTGACACCACCTGACATTAGCTAGTGATGGACTGGACTGAATTGTAAGTTCCTTAAACACATTTTCTGAGTGATACATTTCTCTATTTCTTTTGTAAAGATAAGAATAGGGGAATAAAACATGAGAGACCATAAACCTTCATTCTATGAAGATGTGAAAATATTCTGAGAACATAGGAAGATCAAAAAAAGAAAGAAAAAACTTGAAAAAGTCAAGAAGATATAAGACAGAAGTCCTTGGCCCAAAAAATGGAAGGAGAATCCAACATGGGCGCGCACGGCAGGAGTGCGTCCAACTATATGCTGAACTAATTATCCCTCTGAGCAGCGTCTCAAAAATCAGGCTCGGAGAAAAATCTTTGAAATCACTCATTGGGAAATAAACGACTTCACGTGGACTAAACGCAGACGGACTGGATCAGAGAATTGGATTCTGGTAAACGTTTCCTCTGTGCGGCAACACGCGTGTCAAAGCATTTCCACACAGCAGAGAGAACGACAGCTGTACATTCCCACTGAGCCACCAGAACCTGAGGCACAGACTGCGCACAGAGTTTGTGAGGATGTTAAAGGCAGAGCGAGGAACATGTGAACGCCGTGAAACTGCAGTGGAGTTGTGTGAGGATGACTTGGCTGTCGGAACAAAACCGTTTCCCTGTGCGCCCTGAAACGAGCTGCTGTCTGTCTTTATTAACACGACGCCAATACGCGTCATGAATCCTGCTCTTTTCACAGCTGCCTCACACACACGCGCGCCTACAATTCAAATGACTCAGTAAGCATCGTGATTACTGCCAAGGAAACACAGGAATCCAGAAGGAAAAATACTCACAGTGTCTCTAAGAGTCGTGCGCACACGTCAGAAGCCAAGAAACCCCACTCCAGGGGAGGCTGTGCCGTGCTGGGGTTTGGGTCCCTTTTCCTCCTCCTCTCTGTCTATTCCTCCTCCGGGTGTTTACTCCTAAGTTCTCCTTTCCATCCCTGAAATCCCCCTTCTTTCTCTACGTCTTACACGCAGTCAGTCCCAGGCACTGCGGTGGATCGTTCACTGAGCCACTTTGGCTACAAACACTGAGAGATGCTCTAGCGGGGGCATGAGAGAGGAGGAGAGAGAGAGAGAGAGGGAGGAGGAGAGAGAGCTTTACATATACTCTATTCTGATTATTGGGTTTATTATTCTTCAGCCAACCACGTCTTCTAACAAATATTACCATTAAGAGCGACTTTGTTAGTTTGAGTGTTTTATGCAACTTGTGCAATTTGCACTGTAAAAGTATCAAAATTGCTTTTGTTAAGAGAAATTATGGTTTTCTGCTTCATGCTTCTGTCTTTTGCTGAACAATTACTAATTGCACTATTGGTTTAATGCAGCTGGCTGGGTTAAAATTCTCTTCTTCCAAAAAATATGATTAAGTGATTCAATTCAAAAGCAAAGACGTATAACTTATAAAAAATGGAAAAGAATGAACACAAACCTTTTTATCCATCCATCCATCCATCCATCCACTGAAAAGGCACAATGCCAAAAATCTTTGCATGCCCATTTCCACACCCAAAGAATTTCATACTTTTGTTGTAGGGGGCAGCAGAGTCTATGGTAAATCTTTAAACTTGCAATCTTTGGCATTTTCACTGTATCTATTTATTTAATTTTGTTGATTTTTGTATTTCACCCTGCCCCAAGAATATGTTTCTTAAACAGCTGTGCCTCGTGCTTTACTGCTAAAGAGATGTCTATACCTTTCATGCACACAGTAATACCTTGAAAATGAACTTAAAGGAAAAATAATCATGGAAAGCATCGTCTTCTGCTTACTTGCAGTAAAGATTGTAAGATTCAGACTGAGGAATTTGTCAAAAACTGCACTAGCACATGAAAAAAATATATATTTTGCATTTAACTTGTATGTTTATCAAGATATTTTGGATAAAAAATTACATTTTGATAGAAGTAAAACACTCATTATGCTGCTCTGAAAAGTTCTGTAATCAAAGTTTAAATAGTAAACAAAGGTAGCACTAACTTCCTAGAACTTTTTAGCAATTGAAAACCACTGAATTGCTGATCCAACTCTTTTATCAGCGTGAACCAAAGTTAACAAAATTTATTGATATTACCTTAATGATAAGGCACAAACAATTCTTACCAGTCTTACCTAATCCTCCAGAAAAAGTTCAATGACATTGGTTCAGTTGGTTCAAAATGGCAGAATCTGAAGGATGATGAGGCTCCTTCTAATCCAGTCCTTTATGTTACCCAAGAAGCCTGGCCCTGATGTTAGGTTCAAACCACACATCTGTCCCTACAGGATGAACAGAGCATTTACTTTAAGGGGAAAAAAAACAATGGTCTTTACATAGTTGTTTACAGTGCTTTTTTTTCGCATCATTTATCATAGAAATGTTGATATCCTTTAAAATGCTTCCTTTTTATGATATTTGCAAGCAGTGTTTTATGATTATAGTATACATGTAGAAGAATGCTTCATCTTTTGAAATCTTTGAAATTACTTTCATATAAAGGATTTCGTTTTAAATATATAACATGGTTAAGCATAACTTTTTGTTCAGGATGGGCATTCTCTCTGGTCTGATGTAGAAAACAGTGTATTTTCTATTTTGACACCTAACACTACCATTGTGAACTAAAGTTGCTGACATTCATTGAAACTGTTAGATTTACACAATAAAAGTTGTAATATTGCTTTATTTATATCTAATATGCGTACACATTATTATTTATTTCTTAATGACTATGCTGCTTTGTGGAATGCCTTTGTAAAAAGGGATGTTCATCCCCAATGATGCATTTTCTGCAATACTAAACATTAAGCAAGCATAACAATGACCCATTATTAAATAGTGAAAACAAAAAAACAGATTGGTGTGTTTGTCTGTCACTGTTAAAGGTCGATTCAAGAAATACACCAAGTAAATAAAAGGCATGGTTTGAATATATATTTTTATTGCAATTTAATGGAATAACTTTTATTCAGCTTGACATTGTGTTAAATAGATGAATGCTTGACTCTATAGGACCAACATCCTTCTCTCCTTCTGCCCCCCTTCTCCTTTGTCCCCTGTGAGCCGTGTCCCTTTATTCTATTTATAACTTGGCTGGTGGAGAAATCCTATATTTTTAGTAACGATATCAATAGTCTACAGCACACTCTGACCTCAGGGCATGGGAGACTCAGAGAGTTAGATAGGAAGAGGAAGAGGAGGAGGAGGAGAGATGAAGGATAGATAGAAGTAAAGGAAGGAGGCTGCAGTACTGAAGAAGCGGGACAATATAATCTCACAGCAATTGACAGTGATGGGGCAGGAGTTCGTACCGCTCCAGTTAGAGATCAGGGTTTGGTTTCATGGATTATGATTTTTTTAAAGAGACAATTTTAGATACATTTTCTTTCAAAGTTTGACTTACTTTGGGCTAATGGTCAAATAACTCTTCTAAGATTGAATAACTGACAGGATAAAGGAACAAGATCTGCAAAGTAAGGTATTAGTTCTAATTATGCATCTCAATACATTTTATTAGGGTTTTAAGTAATATACAACCATAAAGAACGCAGCATTAGTTGAGGGAAAGGAAAATAACCAATAGTTTTTTTTAAATATTATACAAAGAATAATCTGAAAAGTGAGGCATATCTTTGTTTTTAGCTGTCTGAATACAATGCAATAAAACCTCTTCAGAAAACAACTATTAAACAAATTACTTCTGTGTATTTTAATCTAAGTAGAGAGCTATAATATCTTGGTGTGGATTAGATCAAACCATATTATCATGTTAAAAGGGCTTAACTCTCAATCTTATCAAGGATATGTGACATTAATTTAACATGTATGTTGACAGAAGCTCTATTCAGTCCAACTGAGCCCTTATTCTACATAGAATAATAATGAAATCATTCTGTCAATAGAGGTGAATGCTGGTAGGGACATTCCCCAAAAGACTTTTAGCCACAGTAGCAAAAAGCATTGCTTCTCTACAATATTTTAACCCATGGGGGCTGACTTATGTCACAGCATTTCTATTTTTCTTCAGAAGGAAACAATGAATTAGGTGACCACGTACCATTTACTTTAATTGTTGCAAACATGAATGACCCGTTTTGGTGCGTTGTATAAAAATGAACTAAAATCCTGTAGGTTTGTGGTTGAAACATGACAGCATGAAAGGAAAATGAGAAGATCTTGAATTTTTATTTAAAGAAGCGGGAAAAGTAGGAACCTTTCCCATTTCTATGCTAATTTCCTCTTAACAGTAGAGAATGACATATAAAGTGTTAATTCTTAAAGGTATGTATTTGACAGTAACATTCGTCTTGAGATTGACATCAGTTTATTTTTCAGAACATTATTGATTTCTAAAGGAGAAAAAATTCTATATCAACAGTTGATTCAAGATCAATGCAATTCTTTGACCAAAAATGTGTTTGACTATACAGTTAGCAGAGCATGACTTACAGTAGAAATGAGTAGGAAAGCACGAGCTGTGCAAATCCGTCAGAAAAGTATAAAAGAGCCATGAAGGACGTGCAGAGAAAAAGAGGGAGAGGTACAGAGGGAGATTGGAAGTTGATGAGATTTTAATGTGAAGGTCAACTTGTTATAACTTTGGATCTCTACAGGGATATTAGTCTCTGCTTGGTGCTGGAGGGGCTGAAGAGACGGGGGCGGGTGTGGGGCAGTTGGAGGAGGAGGAGGAAGAGAAAGTGAGGTTGCCTCAGAGGAGAAGGGAGTGAAACTATGATGCCGAGCAGGGCTGGTTTTGCTGACAACTCCAGCTTCACAACAAACAGAGTGGTCAGCATCTTCTCTCCCAGCATGTGCGTGTTTGATAAAGAAAGTTAACATGCTGGAGATTGCCCTTTTTTGTTGTGTTTTGTTGTGTTTTGTGTGTGAGTATGTGTGAAAATGAAGGAGTGAAAGAGAGGCGTGTTGGAGAACACAAAGCAGGAGGCATTTCTCTGCAACTTCACAGGATAACAGAATGGGACACGTCACTGTGACTTTCTCAGTTGGTTTATTTTAAAGTTATTTTTCCTGCTCATAAAATCAAAAACTTTACTCAACTGGCAAATAAATAAGCTAAACATGATAGACTGCTGATTATTACATGTTTATATTGTCTGTATTGTATAGTAGCCTGTCTGGTGTGACAGAAATGTATAATTAACCACAAGCTCTGTTAACAATGTATTTCCATTTGCAAGATTCTGTTGGAGATGTTAGAGCCACCTGCTTTGATCATATTTAAATAAACATACTGTTTGAATAATTTTTTTCCATTTATTGAACAGTCTCACTGAGCCTCCCTTTTAATTACTCCCAATCAATGCTGTGTGCTGTATTTCATTACACAGCAAAAAGCTTTCTGGTAAACGCAGATGAAAACACAGGTTTTTGTACTTTGTAAGCTGAAAAGCTCGTTTGTAAAAGACAAGTTGCAATAGTGAGTTTTCTTAATCTGCAGTGAAATAAAAGTTCTGAATGACGAGCCTTGAAAAAATATTTAAACCCATTAAACTTTTTTACACTTTTTTCTTATGTGACTGACTGATTCAAAGTAATGCATAATTGCAAAGTGGTAGAAAGAGGATACATAGTTTTAATAGATTTTTTAAATTAGGAATTAAAATGCTGTCATCAAATAGTGCTCATTCTGATAACCGTAAATGATATCCAGTACAAACAAAGGCCTTCGGAGGCCATTTAAGTAAGGATTAAAGCCCCCTGTGTTTAGTTTAACCTCTATATAAATGCAGCAGTTTCATGAAAGCCTTAGATATTTCCTTGAGGAATTTATTGACATTATATAGACCGAGGAATACACCATGAACATAACTGGGCATGCAAGGGGTAAAGTATTCAGAAAAGCAACGTTTCTGATAATACAATCAAAGCAATGATGGTACACCAAGGCATACTAAGGCGTCGAAATAGCCTAGTCAAAGTCCAGATCTATGGTAACTGTTTATTCATTTTTATGTTCTTATTTGGTAAAATTGTGCTTTAGCTTATTTTATTAAAAAGGGAAAAAAAAAGGTATGGACCAAATATGCAGTCTCTAGATGTGCATATCTGGTAAGGACATATTTCAAAAAGTTGTAATTGGAGCAAAAAGAGGTTCTAAATATTGATGCAATAGAGGTTAATACATATGCCACACTTTTTTGCAATTCATTTGTCTTCATACTACTTTGTATCGGTCTCTCACTTTAACTTGCAAACAAACACCATAACATTTGTGGTTATGACAAATAAAACTGCAAAAAAATGGCTTACAGAGTATAAATACTTTTGTAAAGGGACTGTGATAATGTGATCAGTGATATAAATTAATGCCCCTCAAAGTCCAGCAGTTTTAGTGCAGCTTTGCCATCTGTTACTGTCACATTGTGCCCACTGACACCGGTGTACCTTCATGAATTAGCTAAGGTCACACTTATGACAGTGAACTGAGACATTAAAGCAGCCAAAAAGGGTAAATTAGTCTTTCAAAAATGTATAGCAATTCACTTTGGAGGCCCTCTATGATGTTAACACCTTTGATCTGAATAGACATGTAAAGAAATGTTATTTATTTATTTATTATGAAAAGAAAAATTGCTTTGCATATTATATTGTCTGTATAGCTGTAACAATAAAGACGTCACTGGTAAATTGCCCATTCAGACAACTGAGGACTTTTTATCTTCTCTCTACCTCTATAAAAAACTAGCTGCATGCAGTTTTTTGTGCTTCCATTTATCTGTCTGACAGTACAATAATCTTACAGCAGGTTAATACAGACTTTAAGAAAAAAAAAAAACTCTATTGCAGCAAACTATAACACTGACTTGGTTAAAACACATCCTGTAATAGAACATACATATGTCATAGAGTGTAAGGGAATAAAACAGGATCTTGGCAGTTTAATGTAAACGTTAGAATTTGGTTACAAGAGGTGAAATGTTTGTTGCTAGTGATCATGTGTGACTCTCAGCTATAAAACTACTGTCTGATAAATAACACGGGGGGGATGGAGGGGGTGGTTATCAAATAGCTGTGAGAGGTGAAGGAGCATAGTCTGGGTTGAGGAAGGAGAACCCCTCGAAGTCATCCTGGTTGATGGCTGCGAGCACATCTGGATCCGATGGAGTGAGGACGGATGGGGCTCCTGTGAAGAACTTGTCAAAGTTTTCACCTTTTCTTCCTCCCTGATGAAAAAAGGCAGGAAAACGGATATCAATCATCTCGGCCACACTAAAATGTTACGGTTAATCACTGAAAAGAGCCCCAGCCTTCTTTAAAAAACTGTTACCACGGTCTGCCAACATGTCTCTCCTGCCCACCCACACCCATCTAAGGATGAAAGTCAGCCACATATCTTCTCCACCCCCTTAACCTCGCATGACAGCCATTCTTCTAGATGAAATGAATCTCATTTGGCTAATGGGCCTGGCCTCTAACCTCTGAGCACAGTCAGCTTCCTCCTGCAATGCTTCACCATTGGCCAATGGGATGGCAGACTAGCATGCAGCGAGCTAATGATGACATACATTTGCATATGGAGGAGTAAAAACAGCTCTGGGTTCAAAGGTCCTGTCTGTTATGTCCTGAACTTTCTGAGTGTGAGCACTCTGAGTTAGGGACCAAGAACCTGCTCAGGTTATGAGAGATGGAACAATGATGAGCAGAACTGACATAGAGGAGAGTCAGAGAGTGAGCATTCAGATAGAAGAATGGGGTAAAAGAAGAGGAGTTTAGAAGAAAGGGGAATAAAAATAGAAGGTTACAAAAAAAAAGAAAAAAAAAGAAAATTTTCAGCTTACAGTCCTGGGTTTAAATGGTGGCTGTATCTCCAGTCTCTCCAGACGGTCCCAGTCTATCCAGCGGAAGAATGGATGCTCCTTTATCTCCCTTTCAGCATCCTCTCCTCCACCCAGACGCTTGGCGGGGTGCTTCGTCAGTAGCTGAAGTGAGAGGAGTTTGTTAGAACATTTCAGACTTTCGAGGAGTTCACCTTGTATACTAAAATCTACTGTTTTTAGAGGAAAATTATCTTCCATTTAGTTAAAAAATATTTGATAAAAAGTTCCCTTAACTAAGAATGCAGAAGGCTAGCCCCTGGAGCTGACAACCAATCTTACTGAGTCTGGTTCTCTTGGAGGTTTCTTCCTGTTAAAAGAGAGCTGTTCCCTTCCATGGATGCTCAGTAGGTCAACAACTTTATGCAATCAGCAAGACTTCATTGTAAAGACAAATTTAAGAAAAATGACATTATAAACTACTGCTATGTCTTAGGTGAAACTATACCTGAGTTTTAATCTGTGTTTGGGATTGGAGTGTGCAGGCTTGATGTGATCAAATATTTATGACTGCATTAAATACTTGATTAAATATTTCTGGGTCTAAACATACAGTAAATGTGTGTAATTTGACATAATGTGATAAAATAATAAAAATAACATAAAATAATAGATCTATAAGGATCTGATTGACCTGAGCTGAACTGGTTTAAAATAAATCAAATGCATTTAAATGTAACTACATGGAATTAAAGTGAATAGATTTAAAATAAACAGAACTCAACAGAATTTAATTTAACTTAATTGAGGAAGTGAATGAAATACAGCTGACCTGAACTGAATGTATATTAGTTATGTTCAAAATAATCTTGACTTGTCAGTCTTTGATATTAAATAGTAATAAAAGAATCCATAATTTGGATTTGTGACATGTCGTAATAAATGCATGTTCAGTGAGTGAGAGAACATAAAAATAAGCAAACAGCAGAAGCTTGGTGTCTAAATGCATAAACATAAACATTTAATTAATCTTATTTTATTTTTTTCCCTTTAATTTTGTTTTGTTTTGTTAGTCTTTTACTGTGTCTTGTTTTATTGAGTCTTCCACTGTTTGTCTAAGCTGGCAAAACAGAAAAACAGAAATCACTCAGGCGTGAAAGATGCTTAAACAAACACAGCTCAGGGTTCTTCCTCGAATCAAAGGTCTGAAAGCTCATCCAACCTGCTGCACTCTGTCAACACATTTCTTTGCCCCCTCCTTTCAGCTTTACATATGAAACAGAGGACATGACAGTTGGCCTTCCATATTCACTGATACAACATGTGGTTGTCAATGAATGGTGAAATGGTGCAGAAAGGAGACCAGCTAGGCAGCCAGATATATGTGGGTAGATACTGTATATATGTGGATGTGTTGAAGGATTCAGGGAACAAGTCTATGCACTATATAAAATCAACTTGGCCTGAGAATATTTACAGTGAAACAAAGAGACTTTAAATAAGCGTAATCTGTGGTGATGAGGGATTTTTACTGCTGGGACAGAGCAGACTTACTCAGACTTACACAGACTGAGGAGAGTTGATGCAAAATTATTCCACAGATTCGATAAAAGTAAAGGCTAAATATTCCTGGGATTTGCCCTTAATGTCTTGGAGAAAACTCTTTTTCCATATCACTTAAACTCTAATCCTAATAAGTTCTTCATCGTCTCACTATCAGAAACACTAACTTACCACTGACTGATTGCCTGCCTTAGTTTAAAAGATACTGTTAATCATATATCACAGTATAATTGATCAAATATTGATCTTTATTTTCTCAGTGTACTGAATATACGAAGTTTTTACTGTTATTTTTACACCGAAATACTAGGCAAACAGTCTTGCTTTTCTTGTTTGTTTGTTTGTTTCAAAAATAGCGTTTCTCTTTTCATTTCTATTACTTATATTTTGATTTTCTTTAACTGCATCAACTCCCTGTAGTAGTCTGGAGCACTTCCTTTTTTTTAGAGCAAGTTTACTGCTGTTTTTACTATTTGCATCGTCTTTTCTATAATTGCAGCATTTCATTTTTGCCGTGACATTTTTTTTGTGGTTGCACTATTTGTAGTTAACACCTTTTTTTTTTGTTGCATTTTTTTGTGTGTTTGCGTGTTTTGGACTTTGCATCATATCTGTGCTTGCAACTTGTTTCATTGTTTTCATTTTTTACCGAGCATTTATACCAGTTGTGTATCATACAATAATGGTGTAGAATAGTTGGCAATGTTTTAAGATATTTAGTCAATTAAATTATTGTATGAATAAATTATTTCATTTATTCATCAATACTAAACATTTTTTTATTTTATAAATACACTCATTGAAATTATAATTCCAGATTCATTTCCATTTTAAATCAGTAAAAGTCATTATATAGTCACTTTGATTGTGCATTAACTGAGTTACTAATTCACTATTTCCTGGGAGAAGTAACTATCTACTATGACTGCCTACTTTTTAAAGTAACTTTTCACCAATCTTTACATTTGAAAAAGCAGAACGCTTCTTTAAATCTGGCAAAACATTGGTTCTTGTAACAATAAGGTGTTAAAGATTATCTGGTCTGCAGTATATCTCTTATCTCTGCAAATAGAGCAGCATAAAGACCATAACACAGTCCAGGAAGGAATAAGATGCAAAAGGTGCTTGAGGTGAGTCAACACCATATTCAGAAGAGAGTCCTCGACCCAGAGGAAGAAGTGAAACTGCTTCATTAAGGTGTAGAGCCCTCAATATCTCTGCTGACAAAGAAGAACAGGTAGAAGGGTCTTCCCTTCGTTGATCTGCCTTATCCTTAAAAAGCTCTACTGTGAAGCAGTAGATCAGATCCCAGCAGGAAACTGAAGTGAGTTGAGTCAAAGAGCTTCAGCAGAAACAGCAGCAATAGATCAGGAAACTTAAGAGGCAAGACACTAAGCTGGGGCAACTCTCACACAGAAGAACACAATGATTTTTTTCTGCACAAGTAACCCTTACTGTCAGCACTCAAACATCAATAACTGTCTTCTGAGGTACTCTAAGGACGTGGTAGCAGCTGTGTCTGAGCTCAGAGATAAACTACAGGACATCCTGAAAGACATATTTATCTAGATCTCAATGACAGTCATTGAATGCAATGTTTTACTGTCGGGGACAGAACCAAAGAGCCAATATTTGGGATAAATCGCACTGTAGAATATAGTGTATAAGTAGAGTATAACTTATACTCTATAGAGAGTATAAGTTTAAGTTTGTGTTTAAGATATTCTCAGGCACCAATAGCTTGTTTACTACTCTTTTGTATGTAGCATTCATTAACCAAACTTTGGTTTTCTTATTTGGATAGCATTCTCATGAATACTTAAGCTGGCCAGATGGATTTTGCAGTTTAACAATAATAAACCCTTAGCCTTGACAATAGAACCGCCTCAGCAAGAAAAGCTGGTCTTGCCAAAAAACAAATGTTTTCTTTCGGTCCTTCTAAAAAATGTTTTGTACTAATTTGTTTGCATGAAATCCATCATTATGTGATTAAGGCACTATACAGTTGTCTTCATAATGCTGCAAAGAAAGTCCAAATTTTGCAATCTAAACCTGCACAGCTGCAAGGCTTTAGTCTGTTGGAACATCCACAAAAAGAGCTACAATCGTTTTTTTCCTACTAAGAAGACATTCACACAACACAGCCACCAGGACTGGGTGGATTATTCTTAAGGGTGACTTTGAATTTTTCTTTTTTCTCACCCTTTTCAAACAAATAGTCATAACATTGAGTTAGAGCCTTAAAATGACACTTGCTGACTTTTAAGTTTTTATTAAACTTCAGTTCTTCAAGAAAATACCAGCTCATTTAACGTTTCTAGATGAATAGAGGGAAATAAAATAAGGGAAATAAAATGGTCTCGGAAATTGATAGTTTCCATCCATCCAGGTTTTCTTTTTTATGTTCTATTAGTTCAGCAACTGAAACCAAAATGGTTCCTTCATAATCTGAAATATTCTAATTAAGTAAACTATGGTAAATAGTCTGTTAGTGCATAGCATTTTATTAAGTCCAGGGACTCCATTGTGGCCATACACCAGCTTGGTGACCTGTCCCGGCTGGACCCTGCCTCTGGCCCATAGACCGCTGGAGATAGGCACCGGCCCCTGACGGAATAAGCAACAGAAGATGGATGGATGGACTCCAGTGTGCTTCACACTACATTGAGTCATTCACACACTGATGGTGGAAGTCTACATACATGTAGCCACAGCTGCCCTGGGGCAGACTGATAGAAGTGAGGCTCAGATACAATCACCATCACTTGGTGATATGACGATCAATAGCAGATAAAGTGAGTGGAGTGTTTTACCCATGGACACAACAACTGAGAAAGAAGGAGTCGGGGCTCACACTTCCTGACCCACAGTACCCCGAGTACTCAAAATTAGCCCACCAATACAGTCCGAAAAACAGACTGGAACCAGTGTTATGAATTGATTATATATTACGCCCATTCAAAGTCCAGGCCAAAATCCAATCAATAATCTTGTATGCTAGTTCTCACTCTAGGTAATCTAAATAAACTTCAGCTATTGTGCAAAGAAAAATAAGTATAGGTTTCAGTCTCTTGATATGTAAGGCCTGTAAAGACACTTATTAAAAAACAAACACTACCATATCAAGTTTTTATTCGTAATAGATTTGTAATCTTCCATTGGCTTCTCAATTATGCAGCACAAAAGATCTCAATAATACACATTGGAGTTTGTAAGTGCTATATGACAAAATGTAAAGAGTTAAGCTAAAATTAATCCACTGTATGCCTTTGCCTGGCCCTGTGATTTTAACAATTTGTATTCACAGCGAGCTAGGTTTTGTTAATATCAGTCTAGGTCCGCATTTTCTCTTTCTCATATTTTAAACTGCTTAGAGGAAATAAAAGCTTCTGGCTGTTGCATAACATTTTGCAGAGAGTGCGGACCGCCTGCCTCTAGGATAAACACAAAAGCTAACTTTAAAAAATGTATGCTGGATTAATATAAGTATTCTAATGCCCATTATTACATTTTATGATATAAATCTATCCTTAAATTTCTAAAGGCTCAAAGTAAAAGGAGAGGAGAAATGAACTTACGCCTTTGCATACAGCAACAGCTTCCCAGGAAAGACTCTTGGGGTATGAGACACTCTGCTCCATGATGGACTGAAACAGCTCCTCTTCATCAATGCCATCAAATGGCGGCTTGAAGGAGAAAGGGTTGAAAAAAAAGAGTTTAACCCCAGATCAGCATTGCTTCTATCTTTTGAAGTGATTACAAAGCACTGAATTATTTTGAGTGGTACCTGTCCTGCCAACATTTCATAAAGTAGCACTCCGTAAGACCACCAATCCACTGCTTTATTATAGGGCTGATATGCCACAATCTACAAAGAACAAGAGAGGGAATTAATTAGAAGAGCAGCAGGGTGAAGATAGGAAAAAATGAAGTGGAAGCAAACATAATTGTCACAGTAAAAATAGCTGGAAGAGAACTGACAGACATTGGAGGACAAAAATCAGAGTAGGGAAATAAAAATCAGCAAGGAAAAGAATTGAATGATTAAGACAAGACATTGGATGTATGCGTCAGTGTTTGCCTTATTATGCATTTTCCCCAGTGATTGTGTGAGAGAGCGCACACAGCGAAGAGGGGTACGGGCGAACAATTCCCAGCCCCCGGGGAATTTTTTTGTATCCATTCCAAAATGGCAGATGCAAGAGAATCAATAGGTGTTTACATAAGAGAGTCAATACGTAGTGGTTCCACAGCGAGGTTTATCATATCAAAGACAAGTAGAACAGTCAGGTCCTCGCTCTGTCTCTGTCACCCTTCTCTATCTCTCAACAAGTCCAAACATGCTGCTTTAGGTTTATTCACATCTATGCATGCACATATGTTTCAGAAATGTCATTTAGCATAAGAAAACACATTGTTGTGCTTCCAAATATTTGGGTTTCACTGAAGTTCTTAAAGAACTCCTCCGCCATTTCAATTGTCTCATTTAAATCAGTACATTTTTAACAGATATGCCCTAATATTTTAAAGGAGTTAGTGTAAAAATAAATACTTATAGGTTTAACATAATGTTTTTCACCAAACATTCATTAATTTTTTTTTTTTTTGTTACGGTATACAAATATTATTCAGCAGTTATATAGTCAAGACAATAAGAAATATAAAAATTTTACTTTTTCATTTGCAATGTTAACTGAAAACATTTTCTTTTTTAAATAAAATCTGGTGCCTAAACTGGATGTTCCACAAAAATGCAGATGCAAAAGAGGGTTACACTTACTTTGCTGTTTGCAAAATTAAAAAAAAAATATTGAAAAGATGTACTTTAGCTGAATTGATATTGAATTGCTTGCTATAGGAATCCCGGCCCTTTAGTGCATATCCTTTGTATTTCTATGCAAACTGTATGATGATATGCGGCTATAAGTTGTACGTAAGCAGAATAGGTAATGCATCCAAAATAGGAAAAGTCTACAACAATATTTTATACATAAAAAAACCTGATATGGGCATCCTAACTCTGAAAAAAAAAAGTCACACACTGTACAGAACTAGTCTTTTGAACATTCTCACTGGTATTTTCAATCTCAACATCTTTAAAGAAGGAAAAGTCCTCTTGACATCAACCTAATCTTTAGCTATTTTTTAAAGATCCTCAGACAGATTCGAATGGGACTTTAGTTGGAATTACTCTAAAACAGTGATTTACCCCAAGCAAGAAGAAAGATGTTTTTGTGAAATTAAAATGCAATTTAAAACCTTAATCTGACAAAGTTATTAAAAGTATATGACCTAAAGGTGTGCAACACACACGCTGTACACCTTAATGTCATATTTTTCTACTGCACATTTATCTACCCATTGTGATTACACAATAACTGAGATTTCTCTGACGAGCTGTCCCTGATTTAAGGTGACACCTCCTCCCTCTGGTGAAAATTTTGCCCTCCGTTTCAGAAAGAAGTCTCCTTTGCTGCATGTCATCACTTTTTCCTGATTCATTTGTCGGCTGGCAGTTAACAAATGCACCAACTAACTCACAACCAGCTTGGTTTCCTTAGATAGACATGATTATTACATCTAGGTGCAGAATTTGACCTTTTAAGTTTGGGCATTTAAAAAGATTGGGCATTTACAAGCAGTTTAAGACCAGAATTGGTCAAAAAAAGCGGTTTAAAACAAATTTGTCTAATCCTACATATATATACAACAAAAGAAAAAGTCTAGTCCTCTTTGTTAAACAGAAGACAGAATATAATATGTGAGTTTTATATTGTTACACTTAACTTGTCCCACTGGGACAGCTATGACCTAAATTCAAGTTAAATGGAAATGTTATCAAGGCAGAATCTTTAGAGTTTAGTGTTTGTAATTTCGAACAATAAAGGGTACAAATCCCAGCAAATTAATTTGGCAATTGTAAATATTATCTATTTAAATAACTAATTAAAAATTACTGGCTACAGTATAATAGTGAAACTGGTTTAAGAAGGTCTCTGAAGGGCAATGGCATGATCTGTACAACATTGTAAGGAAACGGGTCCACTGCTAATTGAATCATGTGAGGTTAATTATAAAAAAAAATGCCGACAAGGTCAGGGAGGACAGATCAGATGAGAAGAGCTGCTGTGAAGCATCTGGATGTCTAAAAGTGATGCAAAACAAGTCATGCATGCAAAGAGGGGTGAAAGGATGGATCTGATACTATAGGATGAGCCCAGGGACTCAGAAAACCTCAGGGGCGATGTAGTCGGGAGTGCCGCAAAATGTGCGAGTGGTATCGCCCCCGAACATGCCCTCCCTGCACATCCCGAAGTCAGCAATCTTTATGTGGCCCTCACTGTCGAGCAGCACATTATCCAGCTTTAGATCTCTGAGAAAAGAGAGAGATAAGTTAGCCCACTATAAATCATCTTGATACATTGCATCTTCATCAGTCAGTGGCTCTAAAAAGGCACGATAAATCTGTGTCAGGTCTGTGTTGTACTGTGACAACCTGGCCACGTCTTTACCTGTAGATGATGCCTTTGCTGTGGAGAAAGAAGAGGCCAACTGCAATCTCTGCTGCATAAAACCTAGAGGGAGAGAGAAGGAGGAGGAGGAGGAGGAGTAAAGCACTCTGGCTACTTTATCTTTCAGGAAATTGATCAAGGTTTCTTTTATGGGGTGGAAACATATAGAAGGATGATCAGAAGAGGGGGTTGAGAGAGTGATGAAAGAGGAGAGCAACCAAACAAACATGAAAGAAATCTTAATAACAAAAAAGGAAATAGGGAACAGGGTAAAAAAATTAGTTTTAGTTGACTGATCAAAGATTATAGATTGGATGAAGAGCCAGAGGGAGGAAAACTGTGATAAGAAGAATAGATTAGAGTAAGGAAATAAGAGAGGGGTGCTACTTGAGCTGATGGCTTTTTTATGAGTCACCAGATATAATGAATAAAGCTAAGAGATGACTGAGCAGGTAAGTGAATATGGAGATAAAAGAGAGAAATGTAATGAGACTCATGTAGATGAAGGCGGAGATCAAAGCTAGACTTTATCGGACTACGTACGCTGCATGCGGCTCTTTGAACTTCCCGACTTGCTGAATGTGAAACATCAGATCTCCACCATTGACATATTCCATAACATAATATAGACGGTCCTGTAGAAACAGAACACACATACTGAACACAGGCCACCAAAAAGTTTCCCACACCTTGTACTTTTAAAATTTGGTTACTTTATAATTTAATCACAGATTTTCAAAGACAAGTTGTTTCTCTCTGAGTTTTATACAACAGAAAAACAGGAAGATGTGCATAGACGTGACATGGAAAATTTATAGTTTTTAAAGTTAATTTTAGACCCTTCTATCAATAAGATTAAAGCAAGTGTGATGCATTTTGATTGATTTGTCAAGACCTCAGCAAGTTGTTCCTGATCATTATTAAACAAACACCTTCAAAGAGACAATGGAATGCATCTGATAGTTCAGGAAGTTTTTTTTTTAGGTTGCATCCTAAGTGTTGAAAATATTAAATATCAATCATCAATCTAACTTCTGATAATTGAAAGAGTGCGGCACAACCACAAACATACCAGGATATGACCATCAACCTAAACTGACAGGCTGAGGAAGGAGAGAATTAATCGGAAAAGCAGGCAAGATGATAGTAGCAATTTTGAAAGACCTACAGAAATCGACAACCCAAGGGTGGACAAACTTTTTAGATCTTTTTTTTTTTTTGGAAAACAATGAATATTTTTTCTTCATTTACTTCATATTGGTCTTTCACACCAAATCCCCTTAAATTCAAATAAAGACTGTTTTTGTATTGTGACAAAATGTGAAAAGGGGCACTTTTGCAAAATGTCAAATTCCCCAAATTTAAAAAGCACTCTGCTAAATACAGTCCTTCAGGGACAAGGGCTATGTTAAAGACATTGATTTAACTATTTCATTTAATAAAAGCAAAAGCAGCCAGTCTGCACTGTAACAACTCCTTAGAGCCTAAATGTCAAATCTCTTCATGGACCATTTAAGAACACTAATATGGTTCAGATACATGCACACATACCTCGGTCTGAAAGGCGCAATAGAGTGATGTGAGGAAGTGAGGACGAGAAGGGAGGGCCAGAACTCTCCTCTCCACCAGGGCACTCTCTGTGTCCTCGTCCTGGAAGAGAACATCTTTTTTAAGGACCTTCACTGCAAAAAGACGCTCGCTGCCTCGCTCCTCTGCCAGCAGCACCTAACCAGGAAAAAAAAAGGAAGAGAAATCATGTCAGATATTGTAACTGAAGAATAATGAAAAAAAAAAACTGGTTTGACATCTCAAATTGTGCAAATCCAAAACCTTATATTACATTTAACATGTTAAGACATTTCTGATTCAAGAATTATCCCAAACTCAAAACAACCGTGGTCTTCTCAACTATTTTCTCTGTGTGAGTGTCTCCAGGTTGAAACTGACTTACATTTATTTTCTTGTAAGAGGGGAAATCTAAAAAATGAAGTAATCTGCAAGAAGTAACAATTTACAATGAATCGCTTGCAATTGAAGAATACCACAAGACATTAAATTCATGCTTTATTTCTGGCCACCACAAGTTCATTGCAAAAACATCTTAAAAGTTGCATACTTGGTTTATTTAGCTAGGTTTTAAATTGCTTTGAGTTGATTTTCTTTTTTTTCTTGCAGTCTTAATAGCCATCAAATGTCTCCTTGAACCCTGTACCTCACACCTTATTGTGTTTCTGTACATCCTTTCCAGATCCCTGGCTTCTTTAGTTTATTGTTATATCCTGTTTTATTCTTTTATAGTCTCCCATAGTTTCATTTTATTATTACTATTATTATTATTGTTATTATTATTAATATTATTATTTTTAGCTTAGTTGCTACTATTTAACACAGACTTTTTTGCTCACCACTCCTTCTGCCTGAGTTCTACTTTGCATTTGAATTTGGATTCTTCCATAAAATCTTAGGGGTCACTTAATGGACAAATCTTGACAGCGAAACAAATTTGATCGCATGAAAACCTAACTGAAGAAACAGTACCCTCAAGGTGGGTGTCCCATGTAGTAAGGTGTTGTATAAATTCAGTGTGCTCCTAAATGTATTGATGAAAGGGTAAATGGTTTTGATTTTAAATGAAGTGTCCTGCAGCTTGCAGGAATGAAAACACCATCATCTAAAAAGGCATTTTGGGATTTCCCCAGTGATCTAAAAATCTAAAAAGGCATCGTGGGAACATGAGAAGAAAACAGAACATAAGCAGCAGGTTTTACTAATGATTTTAAAGAAAATGTATCCAGACTCATAAAGGACATAATGCATCTTTTTTTCCAATGATGAAAAAATGATGTTTGAGTATTTGCAGAAAAGTTTTCTCATCAAAAGTGTTTTCTAAAAAATAGTCCTTAAAAAAATATTGTGTCTTCTTTAATTACAGATTGTGAAACTGTGGTGAATTCCAATAAATATTCACCTGCAAATTTGAGTAAGTAGAACAAATTTAAATCTAATTTAATTTATTTATTTATTTGACAGGGACAGTGTACATTAAAAAGCATTCCTGCAAATGCACCAGAATTAGCCAAAAGGCTATTTTTCATCTGTTGTCCCTGGACAGATCTTAAAATTGTCTTCCTAAAAAAACACAACAATAAGCATGCTACAATGTAAAATACAAATATAAAAATAAATAAAAACAGCTATAACTCCTCAAAACTGATGCTGAACTCAAACTGAAATCATTTATGTATCATAATACTGTTCATATTGCAATGCACAGCCAGCCTTTAAAAACATAAACCGGCAACTCCTCTTTAACACAGTTGGTGATATTCTTTTTTTTCTGATATGCTGGCAAGTTAGAAAAACATATTTGTGTGAATTACACTTAATAAATTTAAACCCTATGATCTTAACTTTAACCACTGCTCCCTGAATATATAACATAAATAATCAGTTAAAGGAAAAAATCTGGCTGTCTATAACAGTCTAAGAGATTGCTTTTATAATAATGCAATTTCAACAGAGAGATGCTTTAAAGAGTGTTCGTCTCTGGAGCTTAAGTCATTTTTAAGAGAAACAAAATCAAATATGTCTTTCTTTGGTCACTTCTGCATCTTCTGCGTTTGAGGCTTAAAGGAGGGACAAGTGCAGGATAGGTAATATTGCTCCTTTTTGCAGGACTTGAAAGTGTTTGTTCCGGTGTTCCTGTGTGTTCAGAGCAATCTTCTTTTTAAATCCAGTGGAAAAAATAACCATGGTTGTTTAAGCAAAATGGTTTCAAAACAAAACAGTTTGCACTGCTACATAGTAAGCATTAATATGCTGCTGCTGGCTGTCGCTTGCTCACTGCTTCCATTCCTTAAAGAGGTCAAGGTTCATAAATACTCCTAACACTCAAGCATGGCTACTCTGTATAGCTGCCTGGGACTGTGAAACGTAAGATAATTGAGTCCCATAAAATGGAAGATGATAGTATTTTCATAGAGCAGTTCCCCTGCTTTATAATGTGATTAAAAAACACAGAAGCGGACGAAAACTGTTGAGGTCAAATTGAGGCCAGAATAATAAAAGACACTTTTCACAAGGCTTTTAGGAAGATTAGCAGGAAATAGAGCTGGGCCCAAATGTTCTAGTATGCTGCTGTATAAATTCAGTCTCCTAAGAAAAATTCAGCAGAAGAAAACTATTCATTAATGGACATTTTCAAAGCAAATATTACCAGATTATATCACTTTCTTAGTAAACACAGGCTGTACAGTTTATACTGTTGCCTCGTAACAAAAAGGTATTTTCTGTGTGAATTTCAATTGTTTGCCTTCTCATGCATGGATTCTTTACAGGTACTACAACTTTTGCTTAAAATGTCAAAAATGCATGCATTCTGGGTTAATTGGCCAATTTAAACTACTACTAAGTGTGAGTGAGTATAGTTGTGCTTCTCTCAAACTGACCTCAGGATATACAACTATAAGGAAGTAGAAGAGATTAATTCTCTGTATTATACAACTCTTCAGCAGTTTATCACAAAATTTGATTTGACAGTTTTTTAATTTTGTAACAGCGACATGTAGAACATCTCCCTGGAAGGAAAGAGTTCAATAAAACATTAATGAAAATACAAGAATGAAACATTTTCAAAAACACAGAAAATGAAGAAAGGATGACTTCTACAGCAAGGTAGAAAAAGAAATTTACAAAAGTTTAGCCTTTTGCTCATAGCGGCAAAAAGCAAAAAACAAAATCAATTAATCTGAAAACAAATGCAGATTGCAATAACTGCCAAAGAAGATCTAAAGAGGTGTCTTCCAACTTTTTAGATATAATGAGTTTGCTTTATGATTTTATGTTTTTTAACAAATGCAACCAAATGCAATGCTGTCCATAAAGTTTAAATTTAACTGTGATATGTTTGGATTTAAGATTGATCAATTGAGTGAAGACTACTACACTTTACCTTGATTCATCAGTTCATGAGAAGAGGTCAAAACTATCTTTGGATTTTATTTGCATTTCATGATTCAGTCCGACACAAAGTAGTACTAAATTGAAAGTTAAATGTCTTTTACATAAAATATCAATATACAGGCAGAGATTTGAGATTGTTATAAGAAAACATGTGAAAAAGCTCACTGTGTACTATTAGATAAAAGGCTCTGTATTAGTTTTGAGATAAATGCATCTAAAGACGGAACTTGCTCAAGTTTTATTTAAATGTGTAAATAAAAAGTGTAAAAAGTGATAACTTTGTCAAGACAGAAGTACGCTCAGTCTGGCATAATGAAGTGTTTAATCAAAGAGAAATCGAGCCTGAAGATTTCCAGACACATTAATGTCATAAATGAAAAAAAGCAAAGCAACTCTTTGGTTATTACCAAACATTAAAAATACATTGAGAAGAGAATTGAAATTGGCTGCTTGTGGGCAGCTCTGACTGTTAATGACGCTATAATTTTCCCCATTGAGAAACCCCCATACTGCTTTTAGTAAAAATTATATGGTCAGGATCAGTGAAATACACTGACATCCCTGTTCAAAACTGTTCTACCAATTCTGCAAAACTGCACTATAAGGGGTTCCTGGTTATTGGAGATAAAGTATCTCATTTCAAATTGAATGGAGGCGAAAATTATACTTGTTCCTATTTTATAAATATGAAAATGCAAATTCAAAAAAATGCTTCTTGCAGAAAATGATGTGAGCAGCCACTGTGAGAAACATTGCGGTCCCTCTTTGATTGTGTCTCCTGCTTTGTCTCATGACTTCACTCATATTCCCCAAAAAACTGGACTCATCATCTTTCATACTTTTACCAATCAGAGCAACACATACTTTTTCTCATTTCCGGTGTGATCCAATTTTCTTTCGGTCATTTTGCTACTTTCTGCAGCTCAGTAATCCTCCTCTGTTTCTTTCCATCTCTGTCAGTTTCATTCTCATTTTTCCTCACTCAGCAGCCCCGGGGTCCGTCTCTCCTCTTTCTTTTTTTTCCTCACTCGTCTTACGTAAGTTTAGACTATTTCTCCTGTCCTCTGAGGACTCTCTGATAGTTATGAAACAGCACTGGGGGATTTCGTGAAGAGGGGAAAGGACTCAAAACAGAAATGTCATTTTTCTTCTTCATCTACATGGGAATTAGGGAGAGAACAGACCATCCCTTGAAATGAATACCTCGATGAAAGCAAACTTTGAAGCATGTACCAGTTTGAAGGAAGACTCAGGGTCAAGTGAAACATTTAGCAATTCTAGAAGCAGCTTTAGTGATCTAAATGAAATGCTAGCCAAAGGTCAAAAACCAAAGCAGAAATTCTTAAAGCCAGGAAAATATGTTTTTGTTCTCAGCACAGTTGGCCACCTTGACATCATTGGCAGCTGCTGGATGAGAGGCAGCAATTGCGAACTGAGAGGATGACATTTCCTCTCTGAATCTGCTGGGATTACTGTACCTTGCCAAAGCTGCCTTTGCCCAGCACCATGAGGAAATTGAAGTCATGGATTCCCACTCTGACTTTTCCAGGACCTGGAGAGTGTATGGGTGGGCAGGACGGGACAGGGGTTGGAGACAGGACCAGGGGAAAAGGCTCAGGCACCGGGGCAGCCAAAACCTGAGGCAGAGAGGGTGTTGTGACATCTGGCTGAGGTTCCTGGAGGATCATAAGGAGAAATATTATAGAAAAACCGAATGGTTAAGTCTAATTGTACTAAAACTAACCCATAAAAAGGAAAACAAAAAACTATTGTACCCCTTATCATTCAAAACAGCCCTGCAACCTTCTGGAAGCAAATTCTAACAAGGAAGTTAATTTTTTATGTGACAAAAATGTATAAATAATTTAGAAAAATGGAAATTTGTAAACCAAAATCTGAAGGGTGGAATGCATATGAATTATTGACCCTTAAGCCAACAACTAAACACAATTAAAAACATCCAAATAGCACAGGTCACCAAATAAGAAATAGAGTCTAACCTTTCTGAGGAAAAGTAAATAAAGTAAAGTACATTTTATTTATATATCATCTGTCTCAGATAGTAGTAAACTATACAACAATTAGAAACTCTCAATGTAGGAGAACTCTAATGAAAAAAACAACAACATAAAAGTTGAGGTTGTAAAGACTTGAAACCTGTGAGTTCACCCTCCAAACATACTCTAGCTATATATGCAAACTTAGTATATTGCTAGGAAGACTGAGCATACACTAAAAAAACTAAATTTACAGGTTTGTAAAGCTAGTAGAAAGATATATAAACGGATATATAATATACAAATTAAATAAAAATACATAAAAAATAAAAGACATATAAGTTTTTGATGTTAATTGGACAAAAGGAATGTAAATATTCTAAGATGTGCTAGAGAAAAATATGCTAAAATAACTCATAATTCATATTTTTATTGAATTAATTTTAAAAAGGAGAACAATGATCAAAATGATGAAAAATCTACAAAAAAACAATCTATTATCTAGATAATTGTTGGCCCATGAAGGTTAAGCAAAAAAAAAAAATATATATATATGCTACATACTTCATATACATGCTTCTACAGACGTCCTCCTACCTGCAGATCTGGATCCGGTACTGGGATGTTATAATACTCCCCCTCATCCTGTGCAAGCAGTTTAAACCAGCCACAGATAGGACGTCTGAAGATCTCACTGACGCCGAATGACAGCGCTCCCATAAAATCATTCCTGGACGTCCGGTCCCAGTCCCACACCTCCACAGACAGACGCCTGTCCCACTGGTTGCCACGAACTGAGCTGAGGAAACCCAAAACTCAAGCTCAAGTGGGGTATCTTACACCAGGGCATGTAAGTGTCTATCATACAATGGTACAGAAAGTATTCAGACTCCTTTACATTTTCCCGTTTCATTGCAGCCATTTGCTGAAATCAAAAAGGTTAATCTTATTTCTCATTAATGTACACGCAGCACCCCATCTTGACAGAAAAACAGAAATGTAAAGCATTTTGTAAACTTATTAAAAACGAAAAACTAAAATATCAGATGGTAGTAAGTATTCAGACCCTTTGCTGTGACACTCATATTTATTTCACATGGTGTCCATTTCTTCTGATCCTCCTTGAGATGGTTCTACTCCTTCATTGGAGTCCAGCTGTGTTTAATTAAACTGCTTGGACTTGATTAGAAAAGGCACACACCTGTGTATATAAGAGCTTACAGCTAACAGTGCATGTCAGAGCAAACGAGAATCATGAGGTTGAAGGAGCGCAGAGACAGAAGGTTACAAGGTTACAAAAGCATTTCTGTAGCATTCAAGGCCCCTAAGAGCACAGTGGTCTATATAATCCTTAAATGGAAGAGGTTTGGGATGACCAGAACTCTTCCTGGACCTGGCCGCCCAGCCAAACTGAGCAATTGCGGGAGAACAGTCTTTGTTAAAGAGGTAAAGAAGAACCCGAAGATCACTGTGACTGAGCTCCAGAGATGCAGTAGGGAGATGGGAGGAAGTTCCATAAAGTCAACTATCATTGCAGCCCTCCACCAGTCAGGGCTTTATGGCAGAGTGGCCCAGGGGAGCCTCCCCTCAGTGCAACACATAGGAAAGCCTGCATACACTTTGCCAAAAAAAAACAAAAAAACACATGAAGGAATCCTATACTAAGAGACAATATTATCTGGTCTGATGAGACCAAGATTTAAGTTTTTGGCTTCAATTCTAAGCAGTATGTTTGGAGAAAACCAGGAACTGGTCATCACCTGCCCAGTACATCCCAACAGTGAAACATGGGGGGCGGCATCATGCTATGGGGTTGTTTTTCAGCTGCAGGGACAGGTCCACTGGTTGCAATTGAAGGAAAGATGAATGCGGCCAAGTACAGAGATATATCCCAGAAGTAAATCTCTTCCAGGGTGCTTAGGACCTCAGACTGGGCCGAAGGTTCACTTCCAACAAGACAATGACCGTAAGCACACAGCTAAAATAATAAAGGACCGGCTTGGGAACAACTCTGCGACCGTTCTTGACTGGCCCAGCCAGAGCCCTAACCTTAACCCAATTGAGCACCTCTGCAGACCTAAAAATGGCTGTCCACCAACGCTCACCATCCAACCTGAACTGGAGAGGATCTGCATGAAGAATTGCAGAAGATGCCCAAATCCAGGTGTGAAAAACTTGTTGCATCATTCCGAAGAAGACTCATGGCTGCACCAGCTCTTAAGGGTGCTTCTGCTCAATATTGAGCAAAGGGTCTGAATACTTTTGACGATGTGATTTCAGTTTTTTTCTTCTAAATAAATTTGCAAAAAATGTAACATTTCTGCTTTTTTTTTTGGCAAGATGGGGTGCTGAGCGTACATTAATTAACATAAAATTAACTTTATTGATTTTAGCAAATGTAATGTAAACAAAGAGGGAAAAATTTAAAGGGGTCTGAATACTTTCCGTACCCACTATAAAAGATACTAAAAAGTACAGAAACTCTAACAATAAAGGATGCCCAAAAACAAGCATATTTTAAGGTTAGAATCATCCATCTCGGTATTTTTATATTCTCTATAGGATTTTTATCCTTCATGGATTGCATTTTAGTTTCTATCTTGGATTAAATTTCACGGGGACTCACAAGGTAAAACTCTCGTTCCAGACCGGATTAAGTGTTGAGCGGATGGTCTTAGTCTTCTGTTTGCTGTGACTCTTTGGGTCTGGAATCAGTTTAAGTTTTACATATGGATCTGACAAACCATTCGGATCCATTGGCATCAGATTGCGAGCCTCCCGGACTTCAGGTTTTTAACAGAATAAATAGACAACAAAAAGAAAAAAAATAAATATTTAATTATCTGGATATAAGGTGTTTTTTGATCCATATCCCCAAGGATCTCACCAGTGACGTAGATATCCTCTTTGTCTCCTCTAATGGTCAGATGGATTCTTCCTCTTTTCTCAGTGTGATCCTGACCACACAGACTGGGAACACTGGTTTCACATCGCCGATGGACGTTCATGTCACAACCTTATTGTGCAAAACATAGAAGCAAAGCACTTCGTCTAAGATAAAAGAAACATATTAAGACAAAGAATATAAAAAAATATATGTATAAAAAAATAAAATGAACTACTTAGATTAAATAAATTTGATTGATGTTTTGCCATATTTTCTTTAGGGATAGTTGAATACAAGTATTTGAAGGCTGATGCAGATGATGGTTATTTTTGACAGTCTAACCAATACCCAATATTTGCTGCTGATATTATGAGGCTTAATTCTTAGGTCCAGTTTTGAATTTTCTTCCGTCATTCAAATTATAAAAATGACACGATGACAAAAAATGTAACGTAAGTCTAGAACTAGAAAATCCCTTTATTGTCCTACTGTACATCCCTTTATTTTCACTACGTGTTTCACTTCTTAAAGGTAAATTTCCCATATTATTCCCATGCTTTGTAGTCTTTTTACTGAGATTCTTAACAAACAGCCTAGTCAGAGTCTCTCATAACGTCTACCAGGCCTGTTGCTGTGTACCATCTATCAGTGCAGATCAAATAGTAAGACTATTATACTTTTCCCTTACTGACAAAAAAAGGGGAAAAAAGTGTTTTTAAAATACATGTATATGTGGTTGGGCAAAACTTAGTGCTGAATTGGAGCTAAATGAGAAGCAAAAAATCTCTTAATGAAGTTATAGAGCCTTAAAACTACAGTTGGTAAAAAAGATATTGTCTCTGAGGCAGCTGGCTCTCCTGGAACAGATAACCAATATACCAAATCAGCTAATATCATATCAGTGTGCTCTACTTCTGTTATTCTACAAAGAGTGGAGTGAATTTTATGCTGAAGTCTGCTTTAGAACCAATATAACTTCTATCATTGTTTTTAGAATACCTGTAATCTATGCAAAAGTTCCATTATTTAGCTTAAAGAGAAAAAAGGATAAAACCACTCTGAAGATTTTGAACATTTACTACAAACCTTTGGACAAATATTATAATACAGTAAAACAGTTTTACTAAGATTCTCATCTCAGTTTGAGATAGTTATATCAGCATTATACCATCCCTTATTTAAAAGATGCAGAGGTGAATTTTATGTTTTCTTCAAGCCAAAATGAAACTAAACTCTCCAGTTTGCGGGTCAACACTGTGGGCTGCTGTGTACAGGGTCAAAATGAAAGATGGAACTTACTGGTACATTTCATGCCCTGGTGTATGAGTCCATACAGAAGTGATCCACAGTGGTCACAGAATGTGGGGCTCGAGTAAGTATGGATCTTAAATGTGTGCTGACTCTTTAAGTCCTGAAATGAGAAAACAAACAAAGCAAAAAATGAACAAACTGAGAATTCACACATAACACATTATGTCTACAAGCAAATGTTTTCACTCTTATGATAGGTGAATGGCGACTGAAGATATATGCAAATTGGATTTCCCCACCGGGAAAGGAAATTCTGTGCATCCAGGCAAGGCCAGTGTATATTTACCATGCAGGAAGGAATGAATCATTTTTATCTCTTAATAACCGCCCCGCCACCCTCTCTCCCAAACTGTATTCCCTCCATCGTTGCTATTAATAACTGCTGTCACCCCACTTCTCCTGAGGAAAAGACAAATCTCCCAAATATCCTCAAGATGCCACACACAGGAGGGCTGAGGAGTCGGCTGCTCTTGCTATCGTCTAATTCTCACTCTTATCAGTCTTTCTCACCCCCCTTCTGCATCTCCCCCCTCCGTCCCTATCTCAACCTCTCTGCATCCCCTTGCAGGATGACATGACATGAGCATTGATGTCACTGTTGAGATGCAGAAGAAGCCTGGATTGACAAATGAGTCACGCATACTTGCCTTGGGCAATAAGGGGAATGGCTTAATGTGTAGATGAGGGTGTGCACTTTACTGTAAGTCCTGACAAAGGTGGGAAACTTGATGATATAAATGGAGGTGCAGCAGGCGATAACAGGAACACTCACATCGGGCCTTGGGGCAGCCACAGAGCCGGGACATGTGAAGGTAACAAACTCGTGGCATCTTTTATGGACCACGAAGCTGCAAACTGGGGAAAACAGGAAGTATGAGCCTGACATTTTTTTATCAGTTTTGCAGAGAGATATATCAGAAAAATAAAAACAAAAGATAAACAGAAAAATAAAGGTTAATTTCTACCTTGACACTGGAATCCCTGTTTGCCGATACCCCTAGATGAGAATAAAATATGGATTAGGACACAGAAACAATCTACTGTGATTCCGTTTTCAAAGTCATTGTTCAGCCCCATATAAAGAATTTTTATTAAGGAAAAGAAAGCAGAAACACTGTAGAAACTCGATAACAAAAAACTCATCTTGTGACTTGTTCAAACAGAAGCACACAGTAACTTAATTCTAGAGACCTGGCCTGCTCACAGTGTCTCCTCAAAGGTTTAATTGAATAATTAAAATCATTGATTGGCCAAAGCGTCCATTCAGCAGCTGGCCCGGTTTGAATCAAATTGAACTGGTTGTTCAGAAAGTCAAACACTTGAGACATGGCAGAAAGCTTGGCTACAATCATACGATATGTTTAAACTGACCATAATGACTGATCTGCAATCAGTTTCCCATGATTAAATATGAGGTTGCGGAAGGTGATCTGATCCTTGATCGGCATAAAGAGTGAGCTTTCCTTGGCCCTGGTATTATCACAATTCATATGTTTTTCCAGCAGGGGGCGATAAATAACAAGATATTTATTATATGCAGAGAACTGCATCCTATGAAGAGCAAATATTTAAATATAGTGCAGTACTTCTTTATAAAAAAAAATGCTGGGAAACTGTATTTGCTCTTTTTGTAAAAGTGTTTTCATAAATTTACAAATGCAAAAAAAAGTCCAGTTATTCAGAGACACGTTTAAAAGTTTTAAATCTATTAAGCATTGGAGGTGACGGAACAACTACATTCATGAACTACATTCATGCTCTATTTGTACAGTATAAGACTTCACTGCATAGTTTGTTGACCGCATTTTAAGTCATGGTTAATTATTTCCACTCAAGATTTAAAGAACAATTATCTTTCTTGAATGATCTCTTCTCTAATTTAGTCAGAAAAGATGAAAGCATTTGAAAAAAAAAAAATTATCACTTCTCTGTAAATTGACCATTTGAATAATCAATTGTCAGATCCCTTTTTTTGCTTTGTTTTGATGCTGATATACTTTGGTATTTTTTGTTATTCTTTCCTTTTCTAAGGCCTTGAAAAAAGCATTAACAACCCTTGGACTTTTCTACTGCTTGTCAATTTTACACACTTTTTTTTTCCACCTTTGTATTATCATTACACTGTCACAAGTACAGAGCAATGAAATTATCTTTCTGCATTAAACCCATCCCCTTGGGTAGCAGTGGGCTGCCATTGTGCGGTGCCCAGGGCAGTGTGGGGTTAAGGGACTTTGTTCAGGGACCCAGAGTGGCAGTCTAATAGATTGGGGCTCCAACTCAGAACCTCTGGATTCCATGCACAATGTCCTAACAACTAGGCCGCCACTCCTGTAATGCACTGCACACGTGAAGAAAGGGTTGAAGGAAAATAATTAATAATTTCCACATTGTGTACAAACAGAAATATGAAAATAGTGTGCATTTACTTTTGATTCATTTTATTTGGTACTTTGTAGTTAAATGCCTTAGCATTTACAGTTGCAACTATATAGGTGCTTTGCTTTAACAGTTCTATGTCAATCAGCTCATGCTCAGTCAAACTGGATTGACAGCATCTGTAAAACATAAGTTTTCAAGTCTTGCCCCAGAAAGATCCATGTATTTGGTTTGATCTTTAATTACGTGACATCTAAAAAGCAGATGATTGCAAGTTTTATTTTTGATTATTAGGGGGCTAAAAATGGATCAATATCATACTTCAGTTCTCTTTTTAAAATCTTAAGTTGTGTACTATTTTGGGCACTCTACCCTTTTCCGGCTCAAGACCATGGTCTCGGATTTGGAGGCACTGATCCTCATCCTGGCCGCTTCACACTAGGCTGCGAACCGCTCCAGTGAGAGCTGTAGCTCATGTCCTGATAAAGCCAATAGAACCACATCATCTGCGAAGAACAGAGATGCAATCCTAAAGCCACCAAAACAGATCCCCTCAACATCTTGGCTGCACCTAGAAATTCGGTCCATAAAAGTTATGAACAGAATCTGTGACAAAAGGCAGCCTTGGTGGAGTCCAACCCTCACCGGAAACGAGTCCGACTTACTGCCGGCAATGCGGACCAGGCTCTAACACTGGTCATACAGAGACCTAACAGCCCTTATTAAAGTGCTCGGTACTTTATACTCCTGGAGTACCCCCCACAGAACCCCCCAAGGGACACGGTCGAATGCCTTCTGCAGATCCACAAAACACATGTAGACTGGTTGGGCAAACTCCCACGCACCCTCCAGAATCCTGCTGACGGTATAGAGCTGATCCAGTGTTCCACGGACAGGACGAAAACCACACTGCTACTCCTGAATCCAAGATTCGACTATCTGACGGACCCTCCTTTCCAGAACCCCTGAATAGGCCTTAACAGGATGGCTTAACAGTGTGATTCCTCTGTAGTTGGAGCACACCCTCCGGTCCTGTTTTTTAAATAGAGGGACTACCAACCCAGTATGTCAGTCCAGGGGAACTGCCCCTGATGTCCACGCAATGTTGCAGAGCCGCGTTAACCAACAAAGACCCACAACATCCAGAGCCTTAAGGTAATCAGGGCGTATCTCATCCACCGAGGAGCTTTTTAACATCTCAGTGACTTCAGCACCAAAGATCGGAGAACCGGACCCCGAGCCCCCATTCTCTGCTTCCTCAATGGACGACGTGTTTGTGGGATTAAGGAGGTCTAAGAAATAGTCTGCCCACAGACATATGGCGTCCTGAGTTGAGGTCATTAATATTATGTTCAATATAAACAGTTTATCAAATATTTCATATATAGGCTACATTTTCTAACTTGCTTTCTTGGCTTTTATTCCAGTTAATCCAGGTTTGCTGATCACTTCACGTGTAACATGTAGATCCTCATCCCACCTCAGTTTAAATACTTCTTAGTTTCTTTGCTCTATGTGAGAGCCTTTGCATTTGTTTCACCTTGTACTACTCATCGCCATGTCAGATTTTATTCCTGTTCTCTTTAGTTCTTGATTCCTCCATTTGTGACTTCCTGCCTTCCAGCACATTCAGCTTTCTTTTTGCTAAATAAAAGTTTTATAGCTCACCTGTCTGCCTTGTGACTGTCAGACTGAATTTGGGAGCTCATTCACACAGTGCCTTTAAAGATATTGTAGCTTGGGGATTCAGTGAAGCGAGCTTGCATTTAAGAGTTCCTCTAACTCAGTTATTGTTGTTAGGGTTGCTGTTTTCAAAGACAGCACACTCCTTACAAAGCATTTGCAAAACAACTGAACTGGAGAGGATCAAACCCCCAGAGGGAGATATTGAAATCATTTTTCAATTGATGTAGTTTATTATTACAAATATATGCATGGACAAGTCTTAAACTTGACACAAAAGCAAAACATGGTTGTTGAAATCTATAACCATTAGAGATGTTCTTTTTTCAGTTTGGAGAGTGTATGACAAAATGTAGTATTAGGATTAAGTAGCAATCTACTAGCTGTAGGAGAAATAAATGTGTTTTACTGTCAGATTGAAAACACTATGTTTGTTTGCAAAACACAAAGTAGGAAAACAAGCAAAAAGATTTAAATGTCAACAAATATGAGAGTAGTATCTTTAAAATGAATGCATTTTAGCGCTTACTGATATTCTTTGCTAATAACATGCATAAAAAAGGGTTTGTGAAACTGGTGTTATCTGTCTCATTTGACTATTTTACAACTGGTAATTCTAGAAACAACTGGAACTTAATAGATCTAATGCTTCCATTAGGGAATATGCTTAAATAAGCGCTCCACCTCTTTTCCACCATCTGCCCTTGTCATGCTGTCAGCAGGATGTAAATGTGTGTTAAGCATTTAACTGAAGGCAACTTAAACCACAGATGAAAATATTTTGTATATAATGGCATTTATCTAATAGCAGAACAGGTTCTTGCTCTTTACCTCATGTTTTTTTTAAATCCTAGAATATTTTAGTAATTTGTTTTTGGTTTGGTGTGTACTAAAACACAGTAAATTTGAATATATAAAATTATTTTTATCACGTTCTTTGTATTCGAATGTTGGTCTAATGGGAAAAAGGTTACTTAAGGCTGAAATTAAAAAAGGCAGCATTCAACAATAAAAATGCGGATCTCTTGTAACGATGTTTAGAAAATGAGCAAATACTGCAGTCCTTCATTGTTTGATAGCACTTTAAACATTTTTGGAAGCTCTAACTCATAATTCAAACATATTTATTAGTTGTTTAAAACACAAAAATTACAATAACAATTTTTAAGGAAACCATCATAGCCGTAATTACTCCTGCTTTTAATATTTGTATAGAGGTGACAGACTGGAATTAAATGTTGATTCAGTCTTTTTTTGTAATCATGATGCTGTCTAAAGGCCCACTGATTGCTCATTTTAAACAGATATCCTAAAACTATGATTGTTGTCTTACATATATTGTATTTTAAAAAGTTTCAATGTCTCAATGAGTTGTGTAAGAAAGAATTGCTGTAAGTAACCATTTAACAAGTAGCAACCTCCATTCTTGGATTCTGGTTGAGTGGTGTTGAATTGTGTACCACATTTTGGACACAAGAATTAAAATCTCTGGCTTTAGCAGCAATCCCTTTGTGTGTGGAGATTGACAAATCTCCTGGTATAGATGTCTTAGGTAGCTCGATTTTTCTCCTGAACAATTGAGATTCTCACTTAATTGGGGAGCTGGCCAACCCTTTCCTTTTCCTGTTCCTCAAAATAAAATTATGGAGAAAATGTTAAGATTCTGGGTCAGGATAAACAGAGCAACATCCTGCAAATAGCATGTCGACCCCTTCTTAGCAGCAAGCAGAGAACTTCTACTCAACATATGGCATGCCCTGACTCATCCACGGACATCACATACATAAAGTGGGCTGCTGTGACAACAAATCCCATAATATGTTGTGAGGTGAGCTCTTGCAAAGCATTCTGGGATATATCTTCCCTTCTAGTGACCATGGATGATCACTACTTTCAAAGGTTCAGTGTCGGGAATTTCGAGTTAACTACTTTTTCATC